GGCGCCACTCGATTTTCAAAGTTGCGAGGGCACGCCACTACACAGCGTCTTTGGTCCCCAGATCAACATGTAATTTCTTTATAAAAAAAAATAATTTCCTAGTGTAAACTGGGTTATGCAACCAAGGTGCGCGTCTCATTGGTCGGCTTTGGCCTTTTCGTTGTTTTCCTGGTGCAAGTCAGGTGAGTGTCAGAGATGATTTTCTTTTTTGAAATAAAATCGCTGTGTTCTCGGCCCGAGAGTTTTCATTTATTGGTAGAATTGATGAGCACGAGTGTTATTATACTTTGCACTTGGTCTCGAACTGAGTCGCATTTCCTGACGCACGTCGCGCAATAAAAACTGTTGATCTCTGTAGCAGAAAGGTTATGTAACGACATTTAAAAAGCTCAGAGCTCGCAGATATATTCACAATTCACTACAAACCACTGACAAGAGCACACCGTGATTTGCATTCTCGCAAAAAGGGCCAAGCACTTTTTCATATTTCCATTACCCTCAATATCTTTACATTGAGTTTGGTTGGAAAAAGTGAAGGCCCATCTCCCATACTCTTCAACATTGAAGGGCATTGTTTAACTGAAGACGTCAACTCTATTTGCAGGGCACTACAAACTGTAAAAGAATGAAACCATCACAGGCTCGTATGCTTGCTCTGCGTTTGACTGTACCTCAGGTAAGTTACATATATTTCTATTTGTTATTGCTTCAACTATGGTTACTCTATTTAAAAATAAGTTTAATTAAAAAAAAAAAACAAACAAGGGTCATAACAAGTCACTTTAATGGTCAATAGCCCTTTGAAGCAGTTTTTTATTGAATTTTAATTTTGTAATTTTATTGTTGCTATAAATATTATTATTATTAAGTCAATTCCATGACACTTCTTGAAGTTTCTAATTCTGGTGTTTTCAAACTGATTGTATTTAACTGTTATTCACTGTTTACAGTTTACAAACTGCAATTATTACAATATTTATGTTCAAAAATTACTTTTATTCAAGAAAAAAAAATTAAATAATGTTTAAAAAATAGTCTCCAAATACTCATGTCATATTATATCTGTTATTTTCCGTTGAAACACACTTTCAAGAAATATTCCACAAATTTATATCTGTATTTGTCATATCAATTAAAACGTTGTATCCGGAAATTGTCTCCGAATTACGATAATTGGTATTTTTGATTGTCTATTGTAATAATATTTACTGAAAGATAATTATATTTAAATTGTCTACAACTAATTTTCTAAACGATGTTTTCATTGAAATAAGTCTGTGTATCATGACATAATGCTTGTAGGGTAATAAGATTCATATATTTTAAAAAATATATTTATATTAATTCATTTTAGGTTTAATCATTATAATAATCAATTTTGAGGTCACACTGATGCAATATAATTTCATTGATATTGTTCAGTATTTAGTTCAATGTGAATGTCGTAGATCTTCAAAATTAATAAAAATATTACATATAATAGAGATACATAGTTAGTATATTTTTATTATTTAAGTTATTTTGGATAGGTTAGTGTTAGTTTAGCATGTGAGAATCTTTAGGGCGGATCTATTTTTAGTATACAGCTCTCGGAGACTTTCTAACGCTAATAATGATTTAACCATTAATGCTATTTTCATTTCTCGAATACTTTTGGCGACTTTTGCGTTTGCTTTTTTTGGCGTAGTTTCAAATACACTTTTTTTCATTTCTCTACGCAATGAAAAAGTTATTTTTTAAATTTTCTAGCAATTCGATGTGATTATTTAATTAAAATGTGAAACAAAAATATTCCGATGATGTATGATAATGAACTAGTCTGCAATATTTGATAATTAGGAAAGACGGAAAGAAATGCAGAAGTGTAAACATTACTAATTATATCAGAAAATGTGTTTATGTTATTTGTTTGTGAACGGTTGGAGACCCAGGTTACTGTAAACATGTTCGTCAGCAATAGTGGTGAAGTTGTTTATCGTTGTGCGTGCTTCTTCTGTCTGCTGTGATTCGATTGATTTAAATATTTGCAAGGAAGTACGCATGCAAAGTGCATGTAAATATGGTCATAACAAGGCAGAAGACGCATCATGCCTTGATCATGCATTGACGTCACTGCATTTAAACCAATCATGAGCGCACCGCATGGATTGGATTCTCTTTGCGTAATGCTATTGTGATAAGACCTACTCTTATCATCTCTTATAAACTTAATGAGAAGCACTATATTTATTTACGTTTTGTTTGTTTATTTTAGAATGCATCAGCCGCTCAACAGTCCTCTCAGTTTGACAAATTAGTGTTCCCAACTGCGTTCCTGTTGGCCGGAATCGGAGTCGGCGTATCCTCCTTCAGCCTGAAGCAGCTGTTGGAGAAGCCTAGGCATCGCTAAAGTCAGAGACCATCAATACCAGCAGGAAGATGAGGATAGGAGGTCCAGTTTTATTTATTTTTAACCTGCGCTCAAATAACAACAAGGAAACAACACATCTTAAGATAAAGAAAAACTTTTTTTTTAATAATTGTACTCTGCAAGGAGAGAGACAGAGAGTTGATGATCGTTAGATGAAGAAGAGGTAATAGCAACATGTGTAACTGCGGCGAGGTTCACACAGTGCTCTCCTTCAAACGGTATAAATTCAAATTCATTTTTACCATCAACTCGGTTAGACCTTGCGCCTCTAACCTATCTTGATTTACTACCCTCATACAATCACAAGTAGCAGTAAACCAAAGTTTTGGAATTCGAATTTGAAACAAATATTGGATAAGAAGAAGGTTGATGAATATGGTAAACCAAGGTAGCCGATGAAGCGATCAACTGTAATATGTATAATAGGATGGAGAGATGCTCTACAGCGCGCTCCGCTTTACAACTCGCTACACTCTGTATGTATTATAGTATTATTGTAATTTAAATTATTAAAATGTTAGGTAGTACAATTGTAAGCTGGCTGCTTTTATTTACTATTATTATTACTTTCCTTCCAATAACGACCACCCCTTCATTATTTATTCAGATCTTAAATACACAGTCCATCTGATCTCTTCCAGGCTGTCATCTTCGCAGGTTATTGTTAGTTTTCCTATAGCCGGAAATTCCTGTTGCTTGCTGGCGACGATCTGTTGACTTAAAGTTACGGTAACTTTGGATAAGGTTTTCGGTTTGATCGTTTCGCTCGCAGGACGAACGATGAACACGTTTGCAGGATCTGCAACAAAGTTGAAACTTCTGGCGGCGGTGAAAGGATTCTTGAATGGAAGACTGGTTGCGACCCCTTCGTACACTATAAACGGTCCTTGCGGTTTAGGAGGAACGCAACGTCCGATCAGTGGAAATCTAATAGATTTGATGTATTTTTTTAGGGGTTTGAGAGCTAGTAGTTGCGTGTGATTTCCTTACGTGTAGTCGCCGAGGATGGCGGAGGTCAGAATGAGGTTGGAGCGAACGCCTCCGAGGTCGCTGGGCTCGAATTCCACTCGGAAAGTCCCATTGGTCTTTGGTTCGATGATAGCTCCTCCCTGCACCACAAAGTCCTCTCCTTCAACCTATAACAAGAAACCTATTATAACAAATATGTGCGATTAGGGAAATAATACATACCCTGGCTGATACATCGACTTTAGTATCTGCTGAATTGTACAGCTGCACGATTTTGGTGGCGCTCTGCCCTAGCTGCGATTCGATATGGATGGGATTCTCAGGCACCGGAGGTCCGGCGCTCAGTCGAAAGACGTATGGAAACTGCCCCAAAGTGGGGGCCGTCGCCTCGACGCTAGTCTCAAACTGCTCGCACTCCAGCAGAGGCTTATACTCGATGATCAATTCAAACTGCCGACAATCATGAAGATATGATACTGTCATAAACCTATTTCATATTACCTCATTGTACGGCTCGATGATCAACTTATCGTTGAAATGCAGATCTTTGCAGGTGGATGCCACGGAAAATAAAGCTTTTTCCCTGATGGGATTTTCCAACGTGATCTTGCATTGGACCGGACGTCGGGCGCAAGTTGCTAATTCGAAGACATCCAACGGCTCGCACTTGGTAATTGTCAGCACAACATCGTACTCGATGTACTCGTGCGTCGTCTCGTTACGAAATTTCACCTTGAAGCTGAGTTTGCCCTCGTTCAGCGCGTAAATTACCCATTTGTACGTCCTCTCGGACATGGCGGCGACATCCACGATTCCATTGCCGCACAACTTGTACAGAAGTTTACTCTTTTTCTTGCCCGTATCCCCCTGGGAAATCTGATTGATCACCGCAAACTGCTGTGATATTTTCAGCCAGTTCTTCAGCACCATCAGTTCCGTGTGGTAAGATTTAGCGGAAATTGTTCTTTCTATTTTGACGCAGGGTTTCGGCCTCAACGATTCCCCAATTAAACCGTAGAGGATTCCTTGACCTTCGGGTAGAGGCAGGAACAGCTTGCCTTCGTGAGTCTTGTGATCGGCCGTCATCAAAAGAGGTTGATAATTGACGGCAAATGATGCGGAAGACTTTGCAGTGATGAACACCTCCTCCACGAAATCGAAGAATTGTCCGCTCAGCGAAGGCGTGATGCTCCAATCCTTTCCAGTTCTTAAAAAGTCAAAATCGTTATTTTCAAATTCACCGTAATGCAATAAAAGCGTACGGATTTGCGATTGTTACGTTCTTTGTTTGGACCTCGCGCACTGGACACGAGAACTTTAAGATCTCTCGGGGAGGTGGAAGATTGACGCACGTGCCCACAAGTTCAAGACCCAAAGTTTTTGGAAAATTGTCGACACTTAATTGCGCCTGAAAATATTACAAATCTATAATACACACAAAAAAGTAAATAGTTCCATTATACTGACGACGCATCTGAGGAGACAATGGATCTGAGTGGGCGCGAATGTCACTTGATAGGTGACGCTGGTTCCTGGCGAGATATACCCGTCTAAAGGAATTACTGAGAATTCTGTCTGTCTCTTGCCCAGCATCCATCTGTACCTGCGACGAAGATTTTTTTTAGATTAATTGTATTTCCATCCATTTTCATTTTTCATCATTTACTTTCCTCCTATGTCGCCGGTGTTGAAGAGGGTCACACAAAAATCGTTCGAGTAGCCTTTGATGACGCTCCCGAAACTGATGCGATCGGTGTCCAAATAGTAATCGGCAGCAATACACGAAGATTTGAACATGCAGATCGGATGAACTTCATCTTGCACTTGATAAAACACCTTCAGTAGCGAGCATCCGTTAAAATTTATTACAATTGAAAATATGAATGAACTAAGAAACCACCTGATTCGTGAAAAGAGGCATCCTCTCATGCGGATTGAAGTTGAGTGTGAATTCGCACGACTGTCGTGAGTACAGTTTTGTCCATTTCTTTGGCAAAATTTTCACCGTTTCATTCACGAGCCTGTTCTCCTTCTCCTCCGGGGACTCCACATATTTCTCTGACCTAAACACACGAATGTTTATTAATTCAAATTTAATTGAGGGATGACAATGCACTTACTCGCCTACGCTTTTCGTATCTTTCTTGCCTTTACCCTTCTTTCCTTTATTCTTCTTGTTCTTCTTGCTACCCTTGCTGCTCTTGCTGCTCTTCGAGCTTTTCTTCTTGCTACTTTTACTACTCTTAGTTTTCTTGCTGCTTTTGCTGCCTTTAGAGCTGCTCTTCTTGCTGCCCTTTTTACCCTTTTTCTTTTTTCGCTGCGCCTTCCTACAGCAAAACAAAACATAAATTCTAAATACATATATCTACTACAACAACTAACAGTTTGTTTTTTTTCACAGCAATATCTGATGGGCTGATTTCGGGCTTTTCAAAGTCAGCATCGAGTATCCTCTTGGCCCTGGAGAAGATGGGCAATCTGTGATGCAGATCGAAGTATATGGTGATCGGGCATTTGGACAGGTTGAGCACTCGTACCCTTTTCTTCGCGGTCTTGTCCAGAGGTACCGGGCCCAAATTCAGCAATTTATCTTTGGGTTCTTCTAACTCGACTACAAGAGGTGTTCCGATTCCAGAAATGGTAACTATCTGAGGTCTTCCGTTGATGTGGACGATCACATCGTCGTTGTAGCGTCGCGACTCCATAGGATGGAAGTACAGGACGATCCTGCCACTTCTTTTCGGCGCAATCGTGTTAGCCTTATTCACGAGACATAGATGCTCCAGAGGATCTCCGAGCAACTCAACACTGGATACATATCATATTAATTCAGGTTTGTTTATAACACAACTTACACTTACAGCATAGGTCCGATATCGTTGTTGATTATATCCAGATTGGCTTCGTAATAGGTTGACTTCTCCTTCTGAACCAAACATGCGCCAAAATCGAATTCCTTGAACGACAATTTAAATTTTGTGCGGCACGTGGAGCATATTAAATTCATTGAGTACGTTGGTCCGTAAGTCACCTAAAATACTGTTTAGGTCAAAGTAAGTACTTCCGATCACTTTAGATTTAGACCTTCATGCTAATCCTGATTGACTTTTTGATGAGATGTTTTACAGGTTTCAGCGTGGTCGTAACTTCCACCTCACTGCCGCTCTTCACGTATCCTTCTTTCTCTTTGAAGCAGATGCAAATGTAGTCTTCGTAGTACTTCTCCAATATATCTAATTTATAGTAAAAGCCGACGGCTCCGACGTTACCCACCGAGAACTTAATAGTATCCTGCTTCAACGCTATCAACTGTTGATTGAATTGCACGTGAACATACAAATCTTGTTTTACAATGAACTTTATTATGATTACCGAACTTAGTTCAATGGAATTCTGGTTGTTTGGATCTAGATCGACCTCCTCGATGGCACTCACTAACTTGACAGACGTCTGCACTTGGTAACAGTTACCAGTCACCACCAAACTTAAGGGTTTCTCCATCCTCTCGACTCTGCACAATGGTGTGAACGTTATTTGACCAACAAAAATCGGATGAAAAGTTACTCTATAAATATATCAAATTATAATAAATATATGATTTCACATTAATAATTATATTGGTTGATCGAACTTGATTGATTTCTCCGATTTGGCTCTGACGAATCCGAACATCGGTTCAACGGTGAGCTTCTGAACACGACCTTCGGAATACAGCGAGGATTTCTTTATCTTGAACTCGAGCTGAATGTCCTCGTTGTTGACAAGGACAACTTCCTCGCCAACATCGATTCCAGAGACGGTGGGTTTCAACAACTTCGTTCTGCTCTTGAAGTAGACGCAAGGTTCACGCGCCGTTCCCACCAACAAGAACTTCGTTAGTAAGTCGTACTTATCTATGTGGAAATTGTAAACAGTCTCAAAAACGCCGGTTCTTTGCGCTACAAAGGTGAACATGACCTCGCTCAACTTCCCTTTAAATACACGACCTTCGGGCGTCAAGCATTGGAACAGAGACATATTCTTTCCGCCCTTCGGTTTCTCCCAACGATAAGTGAAATCTTCCCCAGTGGGATTGATGATTGTGAATTTGCTGAAAATAAATACCAAAGTTATGAATGTCTAATGGACCTATGTGAACATGTGTATTATTTACTTGGTTTCGGGCATCCCAATTCCCAGGGTTTCGAATTCTATAACCTTCACTTCTCTCGAATCCAAAGGATCGCAGATTTTAGAGTTGCGACGTCGGAAATAGTCGCTCGGCTCAAGATTGAAATGATACAAGGGCAGAACGCTCTTAGTTCGCACCACGATGCTGGGACATCTCTGATCTGGGTGCAGGTTCAGTAAATCTGCGCGTACGAAAATCTCGTATTCGTATGCTTCGTACGGACTGAATGTGATGGTAAAAAGCTGCTTATCTCCTGGTTGAACGGCAATCTTTTGCGGTCGAATGGCGAAAGGCATAACATCGAAATCGGAGAATGCCTCTTGCTCATCACCGCCGATGCTCGTGGATGACCCGCTGAAGAGACTTGAACGCGAGGTCTTTGGTCTTGAATTCGAAGAGCAGAATCTTTCCTCGCCGGAGAGGTGTTCAGGACGAAGTCTGTAGCAGCTTTGCGGCCGGATCAACGAAGTGGAAGACTTCTTTGAAAATGCTGAAACTTCAGAGTTGAACTTTCTTGGAAATTCCTCGTGCATGGTCAGCGTCCAATCGATTTCCAGTGGAAGACTCGAAGTGTTCGTTAGGGTAAAATTCTTCTCTTTAGTCTTTAAAATATTTTAATATTAATATTGTAAATAAGAATCATTTTTAGAGAGTTGCCTCAAACATAAAAGTATCCTCGATCATTATCTCGGCAAAGTCGCATTCGTATGAGCAGTAATCGGAGATCACACTGAAGTATAGCTGAAGAAATCTATCGCTATTTTCGATTACTTCGATGGGAGGCTCCTTGCGTTCCTTGATAGTCTTCACCTTGCAGATACTTGCATCATCTCCAATACTAGATGACCTCTTTTCGCTAGTTTTAGATTCAAGCTCTTCATCGAAAACCATCTCCTGCTCCTCCTCGATGGAATTTAGAGAAGAGACGAAATGCATGGGCTGCCACACAGTAAAGTGTTGCCTCTCGTCCCAAGATAGCAATTCAATATCCGGATTCTTGTACCTAATTTTGCACAATTTGCATTCGATTCGTTCCTAAGAATTACATTTCAATTAAAGTTGCTTGCAACCAATAGTAAAGGGTGATGGTTTTCTATGCTCAAAAGAAAAAATAGGACATACCTTGGTGAAAGCGATCGGCTCCCTGGCGTAGAACGTGGCAATGATGTCCTTACAGGCGCCAGGCTTCAGGTGTCCAATTGCCGGGATGAACACCAAACTATCGTTGGGTTCAAATGAGAACTTGTACACATCTGTTTCAGAAACGTTACGGATCTTGAAGAACAGTTTATGTAGTTTATTGATGTAACGGCAACCAAAGTCGAGGTCGTAGCACGGTTTCAGCACCTCCTGAAACTCCTCCAGACTCTGATTCCGTGACCAATTCGAAGTATTCGTCACCAAACCCTCCAAAATAACCATCTCCTTGTACCCCTCGCCCGACACGTTTATCTACAAAATAAATCGGATTAAAATCAACAACGAAATTCAATGAAACAATTACTTCGTAAATTTCAAATGGATTGTTGATGATGAATAGATGGATTTTACTGGAAATTCGCTCTTCGCAATTTGGTCGAAACTCCAGAGCAATAGTGTTCGTCTTAAAGGGTTTCAATTCGACGACCAATGTGTGCTTAAATTCCTGAAGAAGATCTATGTTGAAGAACAATATAATTATATTATGTTAAATTAAACCACTGGTGTGTACACACATTCTGTGGTGCAGATTTTTTGGAGAGCCTCCGAGAATTCCTCTGGTATAAGGAAAAGCATCTCCTTGTCGTCGTCTTCGACGCCCAGCAAAACTTTACACGGAATTTCTCCAGAATTTTTAATGGAAATGTTACGCCTCTCTACCGCTCCGACCATCAATGGATTGAAAACGATTGCGTGCTGATCCAAGATGCGATCCATGCGCGGTTCGACTATGTCAATTACTGGTAAATAACCTTCCCCGAGGAGATTTAATTCGAAGATCCTCTCACCCATCAGTACGGATATCTCCAGGATACCGTGGAAGACCTCAATGGCGTTTGGTTTAAAGTTGACGGTAATAACTTGCTGTTTGTATGCTTCCACCTCGCACTCCAATGGATGAACGTCGAATATATCAAAACCCAAACGAATGCTGCATGTGATCTTCGCTCCGATCATACCGACATTTCGAAACCTCATTTTCGCCTCCTTCGCAACATTCAGACACGTCTTGTTGAAGTACAACTCTTTCGAGGTTTTGATAAAGACTGGATCCAAACCAAGCTGTTCGCGACACGCAAATTCCTCCAAATTTTCAACTACTCTCACCTCGTTGAAGATGTCCTCGTAATTCTCGAAATCTACGCTTGGAGTGCATCCTCTTCCGATCAAATTTAATATTCTTCCACGCTTATCTTTGCCGAAGCTCTCGCTCACAATGAACATGACCGATTCCTCGAATAAACCAATTTTCTTTGGAGTGCAACTGATCTTGATGAATGCTTCCGAGCAGCCATCAACGATCCCGGTGGACGAAGTCACCGAGAAAATCCCTTCCGTTAATATTGTCGCCTTCGGCCTAAAAGCAAATGCATTTGATTGTCATTTACCACATTTGCGAACATTTCCATTTACTCACTTCTTATCCGATTTACTACTTTTGCTGCTCTTGCTTTTTTTACTCTTCTTGCTGCTCTTGCTGCTTTTCCCGCTACTCTTCTTCGTCTTGCTCTTTGAAGTCTTCGAACTCTTCTTGGATATGACCGAAGCCTTCTTACCTTTCCCTTTACCCTTTTTACCACCCTTCTTTCCGCCCTTCTTGCCTTTTTTCTTCTTCGCCGTCTCCAATTGCTTTCTCATCGAAATCACGGCGTAGGTGAACGGGTACTTTCCGAGATTCTTCAGGATGACTTCCTTGACTTTTGCCGTCTGCACCAACTGATGTCCAAAGTTCAGATCGATGGGCGGACACAAGTCGAAGGTGGAACAGTAAACTTTAGCAGAAACGTTGAGCTCGAAGCTGCTCACTTCGCGATCGATGCTCGAATCCAGAAACTGGCAGAAGAACACCGGCAAACTGTCGAAATTCATGGGTCTGCACGGACAGAAGCGTATCTTAAGTTTGGCTGGCACATTGGGTTTCAGCACTCCGTTCTCCGGGCTTATACTAAAACTGCACTTTATCCTTGTTTCCTCCTTGCAGTCTAACTTGCTCTGGGTAATTTCAAATCTGTAAACAATTTTAATTTTACATTAATAAAAATACTTATACACTAAGTGGATGTTTGTGTACTTATATCTTATATCGTATTTAGATCTGTTGGTCATCACGTATTCCTGCACGAACTGCGAGTTGATCTTGACGTCTCCCAGGTCCATCTTCATCGCGTATTCGATGTTCATCTCGAAGACATCTGCAGAGAGTTGGATTGTTTCCGAAAGCAGTGGCTCTCCACATTTCAAGTACATATCGTAAAACTAATGCAACAACGAAAATAAATCATAACATGGATAAGTTGTATATATATATATACATCTATTTGCAGATTCATTCTGGGGACGCTCTCCAGTTTGACGGCGTAATACTCAAAGATGAGTCGCACATCGCTCATGGGTTCCACGTATCCACGTCTCCTCAACGGCACGAATACTTTCAGCGTGCCCTCATCATCGACCAACCTCCAATTCAACCCGAACAAACACCGATTCTTTAGAAACACATCCTTACAGTTTTTGGTTGCAATCACGATACGCTCAAAGACGACGTCGCGCGGTTCTATGTCAACTGAGATGTTACAACCTTCGCACGCAAGATTGATCAACTCCACGGCAGGATTGTTCTTAATAGTGAGCACGATTTGATCGCGGAACGTTCCGCATTCTCCCGGATGGCCGAACACCGAGAGGAACTCGGAGTTGTTTGGACCCACAATGAAGTTGTTCGCTTCAATGCCGAAGATGTCATCGTTACCCTCCACCAGACATACGTTAACCTGACACGGCATGTACGAATTCGAAATTATATTCAGCTTACCCTCCATCTGCAGGCAACTGGGAGATAATGCAAAAGTTTCGTTGGGGTTATTTATAAAAAAATAGAAAATATTTACTTGAGATTGTCAACTTTTTGGGCTACAATAGGGCCGAGTTCGAAGAGATTCTGCTCCTTAAAGAAGACGCAGTTCAAGTCCACCTTCCTATCTATTGATACGGTCTCGAAGAGCATTTCCGGTTCCATGTAGATTCTCGGTATATCCGACTTTCCTTCCAACCATAAGCTAAAGATCCTTGGCGAACAGATTGCTTCCAACGTGTAGACGTGCTCGTAATCTCCGCAGTGGTCCGGGCAAAAGTACACGTCGAACGTCAGCTTTTCGCCTATTTGCAGGATACGGCGCGGCGTGAACGACTTAATTTCTTCGACCATTTCGAACACTGTACTTTGGTCTTGCTGTTCTGCAACTTTGCTACGTTTCTTTCGGATCTTCGAGGACTCCGAGCGTTCCGTTAGCGACCTCTTCTCTTTGGATAAAGATGAACGTTGTGCGGTCAACGATGATGTCTGTAATCGTTCGGAAACGCTGCCAATGGACTTTTCAATCTTTGCCTCCGATACTAACAAGGATATGTTCTCCTCTGAATCCGTGTCTTTGTTGGGTGCATCGTACACTAAGAAATTCATAGAGATGTTCTTCCGTCTGTTAGCCTTCGGCTCAGTCAGGATACTGTACAATTCGTCGCGTTCCTCCAGCTTTTCTGTGAGGCTCTCTTCCAGCAGCTGTACAGCTTCCAACAAATCTGGAAGTTGAATCAAATTGGCGACAATATCTTCACAAAACTCTTCCCGTCCTCTATGCGCATTAGCAGCAATCAAAATAGGAATCCCTAAAAGATATAAAATGAATTCCAATGTATCAGCAAGGACAGTCTTAACAAATATACCAATTTCTTGCCTAAGCAATTCTTCCGACGGTGTCAAAATTTTCGTGTCGATTTTCTTTTCCTCTACAACCACCTCCACAGATTTCACCTTCTCATCCTCGGATCCGCCAGCTTCGGAGACTTTTTTCGATCCCTTCTTCGAATCTATTTTTGATCCTTTTTTCGATTCCTTTTTTGAATCTTTCTTTTTGCCACCACCCTTTTTGAACTTCGGCGATTTTGGTGTTTTTTTCTTCTTTGGGCTCTTGATTTTAGGAGGTTTGGCCGGCAAAGGCTGTTCAACAACATAGGACGACATATAAAAATTTAACATTTCATAATATCAAGATTTACCTCGGTGAGAACACGATTCTTTCTATCCCAAAACTCCAGAATGTGCCTCAACTCCCAACAGTGAGTTTCCGCTTTGATTAGCGAATCCCTTTCTGCCGCCTCTTCCGGCGATAATTTGTCTAAAATACAATTAAGTAGGGAACATCAGCAAATCGATACGATTGCAAAAAACCTTTATCCTTTGCTGATTTCTTACTCCCTTTACTCGACGATTTTTTGCTGCCCTTGCTCTTTTTAGAACCCTTAGATCCCTTTGGCGATTTCTTCGACAATTCTTCCGAATCCTTCGTCTTCTTCGAATCGGCTTTGGAACCGCCACCCTTCTTCGCTGTAATAAATAATCGAAATAAACAAAGAATGATAAATTTAAAAATTAACACCAACAATCTTTGGTTTTGGGTCTTTTGGCAGCGGTCATTAGTTTCTTGCCACCCTTCTTTCGTTCCAACTTTGCTCTGCAAGTTACCATTACAGTTTACAAAAATATAATCAAAAGCTTACAAATTTATACTGTAAGGCCAATTTTCGTCGTGCGCTATCCTCCTTGCGTTTCTTCAGAAAGTACTCTTTGAAGAGCTTCAAATCTTGCTCCGAGAGATTTGCAAAATCATCGGCGTTCATTTCAACAATCACCTCCAATCGCTTCTTTTTCTCCTCGGTAAATTCGTTCAGCATCGCCATCTCATTCAATCTCTTGCATTCGTGATCCTCGAACGAATACGACAGATATATGCACTGCACATATCGAATATTGCCGATGCTCTCCAGAATACCTTTCAGAAGCATTTGAGGTCTGCAAATAATAACACCCGTAAAACATTGTATTTCCATATATATAACTCCTTTGAAAGAATAACCTGCGAATGAAGACGCTGTCGAGGCTCTCCAACACTAAACCGCGTTCGAATCTTCGCAGCATTACACTCAAGATATCGAGGAAGTACTGCTCCGGTAAATTCATGAAAACCTCTGGATCCAATTTCTTCTTCCTCTTCGCGCCACTTCCGTTTGACTTCTTAGAACTCTTCTTACTACTTTTCGATGTCTTCTTACTGCTTTTCGAGCTCTTTTTGCTCGATTTCGATGAACTTGTTTTGCTCTTTTTCTTGCTCGATGATTTAGAACTCTTGGAACTCTTCGGGCTCTTTTTCGCTTTGATCGGTTTCGGCGGAGGTTTCTTCTGTTTTCCGCTTAGGATTAAAGATACCTTCTGTTCGAGTTCATCGTAGCAATCTTACGAATTTTAAATTTATCATTTTTTTTTGCATAGTGCGAATGTTGAGAGAATTACCTGCACTCGGATCTGTTACCAAATCGGTTTCGGATGCGATGTCATCGAAAGACTTGTTGATTTCTTCGTTGACTTTGATCGCGGCTAAAGTGAGATTGATGGCAAGTGCTTCATATATTAGCTGATCTGCGCTGTAGACGGGTATATCCAATTTCCTGCCGGCCCGATTCGCCGCCACCAGGTAATCTTTTGGTAAAAATATGGAATGGAATTGATTAAGTTTTTGGAACTTTTGGTGAAGAAGGAAAAGAGTTGAAACCAGTTTGAGGGGCTCCGTGGAAAATAAGCAGAATTCCCTCGCGGAAGTAGGCCGGATCTATGTTTTCGACGTTCGAGTTATCCTCGATCTCGTAGATCGACTTAGTCACCGTAGCAGTAATAGTCGACTTCGTATTATGCAGATTTGCGATATTCTCCTTCAGAAGACATCGGATATCGTCGCGGCTTTTGCCTTCTAACGGATCCATAATATCATCCATGTCTACGCTGTACAGACTTCCTTCAAATTCGCCCTCCCTGCAAAGAAGAAAGAACATAATCACAAACAAATTATAAAAGCTTGTGATAATGACGATCTTGTTGTCTTACCTAGACTCTGATAGTTGTATGGCTTGTTCTCGCATAATCTCTTCCTTGATCTGCAGTTTGAGAAAGTTTCTGAGCGAGCCCATGACCTCGTAGTAGGTCTTGATCATCGATTCAGGAAGGCTGTCTCCAACGCTACGGGGCTGAACGTACAACCTGCTCACACCGTAGAAAAGCAACAATGTGTAGATGACGTCGTCCTCAAAGTCCACCAAATCATCGAAATCAGAGAAGAAGAATTCGACTGGGAAGGCAGAGTTGTTGGTGATTGTGAAAGACTTGATATTATCGGGACAATATGGCAACGAGGGCTCATAAACGAGATGATCTTCAATTATAACCAGCTCCGTTTGCAGACCGTAACCTTTCAATGGAATCGTCACGACGTCCGGGTTTTCTTCGATGTTAATCACCAGCTTCCATTCGACCTTGCCATGAAACTTGGGTTGGAAGTACAGCTCCAACAGCTGCGACTTTCCTACCTCCAAATTACCTTCAGTATTGTACGTGAAGAACAAACGCATATCCTTTTTTTGCGGGCAAAAGATACTCACCGTCCATTTGCATGAAACGTTACCACTGCACAAAATTTTCTTTACATTTTCTTACCATACAATTAGTTGATATACGTTTACCTATTGGTGACGATCACCGATTTCTTCAGACAATTCCCGCATCTTACTTTTCCAAAATCGATGAAACTATTCAGAAAGGTGATTTTAGGCAGCGTGACAATTGCTTTGATCTTGAACTCGAGTTTCGGTCCATCGATAATGGAAGCTGTTAGTATGGCTTCGACCGTGTGATCCAGGGTCACGAATATCTTCTTGTTGGGTTTGAACACCAAGAATGGACCGACTTTGTTCCGCTCGAAGACCAAACTCAGACCAACATCTTTGTTTCCGTTTACCGAGAAGCCTTTGTGCCAGATGACACGCGAATAGAAGGGATTGTACTTGATCGGATCCAAATGGATGTCGACTGCGGAATCGACGACGACGTATCCAAAATCAACGGTGTAGGAGGGAAGCAGCAGCCCGGGAATAGTGGGGTTCTTGTTGTAGTAATAGTCTTGGATAAGATTCGGCTTGAAAAGAAGATGCTCCATGCAGAGTTGCCTCTCAATGGCCATGCAGATATCAATCATCGTCGGCATTTTTGCCTTGAAATTCAAAACATATAATCATGAATTATTCATTGAACATTCGGCATGTGTTGTGTGTACTTCATAATAGATGATTTCCCAATCGCCTTCGAATCCTTCAACTCTATCCTGTTGTTTCGGTTTTACGTTCAAATGTTCAGAATACAGCAGCTCCGAAATTGCTTGATATGAGAGTTCATTCACGTAGTCAGATTGAAATTCCGGCCTCGGAAGATTGAAGTAGACCTGCGGATGAACAGCACATCCTTTGACAGTCAGCATGACTACAGCTTGAAAGCCGATCTGTAAAATCCCAACCTGTACTTTTCATAGAACTCTAATACAATACTAGTACGCACTTCGAGCTCGATGTATTCGGTAAATAGACCGACGATTCCCGGAAAGTATGTCACTTTGAAATGGACGGTATCGCCTGCGGGAACCGTACCCTGCAAGGGCTCCACTTGCATCCACCTGGGAATCGGCTTGAACTCGCTCGACGTCTCCCTGTAGCACACGTTGAACTGTAGAGGCGTGTAACCGGTATTATGCAACGGACATTGCTTCGTGCTAACATTGTTGATGCCTATGATGCCGAAATCCACTGTCATATTATCCAATTTGTAGTTGATCTCGCTTGCCGTTGCTTTGATCTTCAGCACCTCGATTTCTCCTCCTTCGACGAAGCACATTGCAGCAGCATTCACGGTTGTCAGTGCAGGTGGTTTTATCTGTACGGAAATATATTGAACTTCGTACGGTGCAAGCATTCCTTTCGAAGGAATCATATCGAGCATCTCGTACAGCTCGTCCACGCACTGATACTCCTGAATCGCCCTGTACAGATCGGTATCGGCCTTACTCTCCTGCAGAGTGTAATTCTCCAGCAACGGATACAGTATGTTCTTCACGGCAAACTCGTCAATTGCATCAATCTCTTCCTCTTCGTCAACATCCAACTCCACCACGTGATCATCATTTGTTTCGCAAACTTCTTTCGATATACTCGGCGTCTAATTGACTAATAAATAAATTGGTGTATTTAATAATGTATAAATTACCGTCACAAAATCGACGTCCTCGACGTAAAATGCTTGCTCAATCCAACCCCATTCGTAGAAAACTGGAAGAGGACTTTTGTTCTTCATATAAATTATCCTATAGCTTGGCCATTCGCTCGGCACGTACTCAAAATTCACTTCTGAAGGCATGAACTCGATGTTTGGATAGTTCACTGTACCTGACAACATGATTTTATCCTTGAATGAGAGAAATAATTGATTTATTTAATCGATTATTATTGGATATATAAATATTGGATATATACTATTTTCGGATGATTCTGGTAAATGATGGTGATCAGTCCGTTCTCTGTGAAGCACCTCCGATCTCTCTGGGGAGGATCGAAGCACACGTAAAAGGTGACGGAGCCCGAAGGTGATAGTGACGTGGACAGCTTCTCTAGAACTTCGTCTTCGTGCAGCAACTGGAAGGGCGATTCGATGCTGATGGTAAAGATGATTTCGATGTCCGTGCAATTGGTTAAAGTGAGATCATCCTCAAGGACGGCCGTCGTTTCCTCCTGACTCACATCCATTCGGAAAAGCAGCATGTTTTTGGAAAAGTGGATTTCCGGGTCTTGAAAGAACGCCGAGATACGCGACGTCAGAATGTTGCGGATCTGAGAGTCCCTATCGAGCTTAGCGAACAGTCGAAACACTTCATCCACTTCGCGCGGCTTCTCCGAACTTGCTTCTATGATGATGGTGATCGTCTGTCCTGGCATCAGATCGCACTGCTGCGGTATGAATTTAAAGATACCTCTGAAACAATGAATAATTCAAAATTCAAAATGTTTAATTCTTTCGTTCTTACGGTGGTTCCTCGAATTTAAAACTGCGCAGCTTAGTAATTTGGGTCCAGCAAAGATGGTGCATCTGCTTGCCTTTGTTGACCATCGTGAGCGTCATTGAGAATTTGTGCTTGGTGAAGACAGTTCCAATAGCAAATTCTGGATCGAGTAGCGGATCGCAGAGAATGCTTCCACCTTCGCACTCACCAACCACTTCATACACATCCGTATCGCCTTTCTCCACTTGAAGACGTAGGATGTTCTTGAATTTACCAGGATAGTTTCCGAATACCTCTAGGTACATAGTCTTGCTGCTTTCAGGCGGCAGATGCATATCGTTCTCTTTCACCGTCAAAAATTCACCAATCTAAGAGCAAAAATAGGAATTTTACAATTATTTTAAAGTATTCTTCTAGACTTACCACGCGAAACGTTAGATGGGCGGGAATGGGTGAATCATTTGTAACCAGGATCTCACGTTTGATGGTCGTTAATGTGGGAATTTTACCCAAGTTCATCGAATCCATATTCAGATCGATACACGGTCCTCTACTGTTCACGTTGATCTCGCACACCTGCTCCGCCGATTCCGCCCCGAAGATATTCACCCGCAAGAATCCATTAAAATACCCAATTATTTCAGTTTTTACTGTCACGTTAATCTCCAATAATGACTCTGGTTCGACGTACGCTTCGGTGATGTCCGTGCTGATCTCTAAATCCTCGTCGCCGTCGTTGGTGATCTGTAGGTAGCCCGGATAAATGGATGTGTTCTGTAGGACAACCGTTTTCATATACGGCTCGGTGATGAAGATACTCTTGAGATCTATTTTAGGTATATTGCAGATGATCTTCGGAGTGCAAGAGTGATACTTGAGGTTGATGGAACGATTGTTCTGAGGCGAACCCCACATCGTGAGAGTGAGATTTGCAAATAGCGAACCCAATTTGTTGGCGACAACAGTGAGCGCAACTGGTATCCTCGTGTACGCCTCCACCAAGCCCTTCCTTGGTACACAAGTGAACTCCCTCGGGGATGAATTGACCTCCTCTTTAGGACTCATCTCCGAGTACTCCTCCAACGTGTAGCTCGGCTCGTTTCCATCTTCCGGTATCTCAGCTTTGAATTCGATGGGCACTTGCGACGTGTTCACAAGGTTAAAATCGACGGTAATGGGATAACCTTAATCCAAATATTGCAAATATGAAACAGCAAATAGGTGTGGACATATTAAATGACGGTATACCTATTGGTATCTCGCCTAGATCTATCTCTTGCACGTCGAAATTGAGCAACGGGCAGACGATGTTTCCGCTGAAATTGAACTTGAGAATCTTCTTCGATTCGACGATTTCGAAGCATACGTCTTCGATGAACCTGCCGCGCGTCTCCGATGAAAAAATGATAGACATGTTCAGCTTGGAATTGGGAAACACTTCGAAGTTGTCTGTGGTCGTGCTAAACTCTCCACCGAATTGCGTTTCCGTTGGAATATAACGAACCGTCCCAGGTATCGGACCTAAATCATATATGAATTAAGGAGTTTACGTTGATTTAGGTTATATACTTTGCGAACCTTGATTGGAGAATATTAGCTCGTACATATGGACCGCACGCACGTAGATATTCTGGGCATCAATGTCCTCCACGTTTATGTTGATGGATGGTCCGACGCAGCAGCCGACCAACTTGATGGGTATCCTCTGCATCCTTCCGGTCAGTTGAAGATAAGTAATTGTCTCGTAGCTTCCAACAGCTTTTGGAGCAAATATTATGGGAAATACGATTTTCGATCTAGGCCACAGTTCGCCCGCCTATAATTATCAAATTCTCATCGAAGCTGCATTAAGAATGAATGAATTACCAATGGATCAATGATGATGTTCGCATCGTGAAAGAGGATCTCTTCGTCGATATCTAGATCTTCGGTCTCGTCCTGCAGGATGCGATCGTAAATGGCCCTGTTCATTTCGCGGTCGGCGATGTGATTGTGAGAAAGAACGTTGTCTCGTGATATCTCGTACAGTCCCATCTCCCCAAACTTATCCTTGAGCTGCCTTTCTCGCTTCAGCTCCTTTTCTGCGTTGCCTTCCGGTTTCCACTTGAAATCCACGCAGAAGCCGCTCCTGTTCTTTACCTCGTAATTCACTTGCGTGGTAAGACCAAGGAAGGTGGGCTTAAACTCTATGCGATTACCGCCCAAACAGACGTCGACCTCTTCACCGTCGCCCTCCAGCTCCACCGTCAGCTGCTCTCCGGTCTCCAGCGATATCAACAGAGTCTGACTGTTCAATCCGATCCTCTGCGGTTTAAAATAGACGGAGAGTTGAAAAAGTTCGTTGGGATTGATGATGCCTCGATCTGGTTTTAAAGAGAACGGAGACCAGGTGCGAGCAACGTACGTCGCAGGAATCGAACCCAGATTCCTTACCAGCAACGTTCGCTCAGTCTGGATGTTAACAGCGCCGGTAGGAAGAGTCACTCGGTCCGGTATATCTAGAAGGGGACGTGGACCAATCGCTGCAAGAATCCCAAATGAGAAATCAATCGTAATCGAAGTGAAACATTTTCATGGATACCTAGCACATCGAGCTCCAGACTTTCGCCGTCCGTGAGGAAAACGATTTTGTGGCTGTAATCACGCAACTCTTCTGCTGTGAAATCAATCTGCAATTGGTAAGACATTCCGGGCGCAATCTTGGTGCTCACCGCCTCCGAAGTGTGCTTCACGGAGAAATATCCGGATTCTGCGGACGCGATTCTCAATGGTTTAGACACCTGCAAAAAGATATTCATTAAAACTAATTTTCATTAACGACACTTAATGTTATTATTGAAAATCTAATAGCCATACGATTTCAGTTGCCTAGGGGGCCAGCTATCCTTAATCCGCCACTGCTTATAGCATATTCAAATACATCTATAATAAATCGTTCATCTAAACGTTTAAAATTAATGAAATTGCTACCGCATACATTGATTACATATTCGCAACCAGAATCGCAATTAATTACATTTTTTTTAGCGAATAACAATTTTTATCGTCCGTTACGGACTTCGATCTGCACATTGCACATACAAATAGTAGTTTAGCAAAATATATTTAGTACATACATTTTAGACTGCAGCGGTAAGCATGCATAAAATATTTAACCGTTGAATGTCTTTACAGTAATATTGATTTTCAAAAGGTGCTTTCATTCTGATTTAAAAATGCTTATACTATAAAGGTATTTATTACTAATATCTTGATCCTGTGTTTGAATTTTAGATGTTTATTCTCTTTATTGTGAGCATAATGGCGACAGCGGACGCCGTGAATTCAAATTATTATTTCGGGCCTATTAGAAGGTTTATTTATGCGCATGAGAATAATCAATATTGTAATCTTAGGCATCGTTTTAGATACAATTACTTGTATTGCGTGACCTGCAATTTACCCGTATTGCAATGGAATACATTGAGCAATGTGGATATGGAAATTGGGAACCTGATGTTGCAACACAGTCGCATAGAATCTATCGATAGCTTCGCCCTCTCCAAGATAAAAGGTCTGCGTAGCCTCGATTTGAGGTTTAACAGGATCCAAGAAATAGCAAGTAAAGCCTTCACAAGCTGCGATGTGATCAAACTAGACAACAATTTCCTGCGCGTTCTCAGACCAGGATTTCTCAACAACACCCACGTGCAGCATCTTTCCTTAACAGCGAATCACGTCATAGAACTTCCATCCGGTATCTTTCACGGAGGCAAACTCATCACACTTGACATTTCGAAGAATCAAATATCAAAGTTGTACGAGGATTCGTTCAAATTCGCTGAAAACTTGTGCTCCCTGAATTTGGCGTGCAACCGGCTGTACAGGATACCGTTGGGATTATTCAGAAATATGCAGTATTTGAAAGATTTGGACCTGTCAGATAATTTCTTGCGCGATCTACACTACGGTATGTTCGAAGGTTTATCAGAATTAAGAGAGCTCGATTTGGCCGGAAACGGGATCAGAGTGTTCGAGCCCAGCATGTTGGTCAGCCTCGACAAGTTGCAACGTCTTCATCTCAACCGTAATCATATACAGCGCGTGAACGCTGCAGAATTGATTAGTTATCTCAATTCGTTGGCGCAGATGGATGTTAGCGAAAATATTTGGGAATGCAAAAGTCTGGCACAGCTCCTCATGCACGCGCGCAACAAGAACGTCAAGATATTGCAGTACAATAAGTTCAACGAAAGCAATATCAAGGCCATCTCTTGCACCCCGTAGTATTTGTAATCAAAATTCAATAAACTTCACGCTATTGATGCTATTATTACCTCTTTCGTATTCAGCAGGGTGATGGGAACGCAATACTGAATTCCGGGTTGAAAGTTCTGAAAGACTACGATGTGTGGGGTGATCTTGAAGGTGGAAGATCCCAGTTCTCCGGATCTAGGCATTCGGTTCTGCTTGCAGAGCTGCTGGCACCTCTCCTCCGTGGACAATCTCATCTCCCTGATAAAACAGGAGGGCGACAACTGCTCCAAAAAGACAATAAAAATTGTTCGCAGCGCAAACACACTTTTCTCATACTTTGAACGATCCTCCTATTCTCTTCTCAAAATCCACGATCGTAGGTAGTAACCGCATTAAATCGCATTCGTTCCATTGCGGTTTACAATGCAAATCCATTATTATTAATTGTAATGCTCCTGTAGAGTCGATTAATGTATCTGCTAAAAATGAGTGTAAAAGTTCTAAATTCAATCAATCTAATGTCAATCGAGACGCTATCAAAGCCCATTCGATAAAACATTATTGCAAACAACATCATGCAACATTATTTCAAATGTTACTTTCTGTGTTATTGTGTTACAATCAGTTACAATCCAACACAGTTTTTGATAATTTTAAATTATAGCTTGTATGCAACCAACAATTTCGTCAAAATAATTCTAATTGTTATCCACATTTATAACGCAACTATAACATTTTACTTAAGCACAACTTTGAATAACTTTTATTTCGATGCTTTTATAACATTTATAAATTTATTAATAGAGCAAAATTAATTTTAATTTTGATGATCATTTGAAATCATAACCTCACAAAAGTCGATTTATTATTTTGTTATAGTATTCATAAACGGGAAATGTTTGTGATTAAATATGCATCGAGTATTATGTGCAGAGCGCAGAACGTACGTCTGCTGAGGCCGTGTAGTTACGCTATAGATTTAAAGATTGGAGATTATTCTATGTCCAAGTATATTGAAAAATTGGTAAAAGAGTATGAGTGTGGAGATACACAGAATGTTAGAAAGCAAGAGTTGAAGCCCATTATGAGTGTGCTTGATCGCAGAAAAGAGGTGATCAAGAATATTGAGAGTCTTAAGGAGCTTCTTTCTGATCCAGATGAGAGCATCAAGAAGTTGGCAGAGGAGGAGCAATTTGGTTATGACCAGAAGATTCTTGAACTTGATGAACATTTGAAAGAGGTTCTTTTACCAGCTGATAATGAGGATAATGTTAATGCTATTGTTTTAGATGTGAGCTCTGGTGTGGGAGGTCAAGAGGCAATGCTATTTGCAAATGAGGTGTTCGAAATGTATAAGGGGTATATAGAGTTTAAAGGATGGCAATGCGAGATAGCCGAATTTATGAATACAGATATTGGCGGGTTAAGGCATGCCAGTTTATTGGTTGAAGGGGAGAACGCCTACAAGTGCTTCAAATATGAAGCTGGAGTGCATAGGGTTCAAAGAATCCCTAGCACAGAGAAATCTGGCAGGATTCATACAAGCACCATATCCGTGAACGTGCTTCCGCAGCCCACCGACATCCAAATTGATCTGCAAGCTAAAGATTTGAGAATCGAGACCAAGAGAGCTTCAGGAGCTGGAGGTCAGCATGTCAACACAACCGACTCGGCCGTTCGCATTGTACATATACCAACAAACGTAGCAATCGAATGTCAAACTGATAGGTCTCAAATTAAGAACAGGCAGTTTGCAATGCAGAGACTTAGGGCTAAACTATACGAAATGCAGTTGGAAGAGCAGTTGGCGAAGACGCAGGGCCTGAGGAAGAGTCAGGTGAGGACCAAATTCCGAAACGAAAAGATTCGCACATACAATTTTGGGCAAGACAGGATTACGGATCACAGGGTTGCCGGCAACGTGCACAACATGAAAGTGTTCATGCTAGGTGGAGCCCCACTGGATGATCTCATCGATAAATTGGATCATCAGACAAAACTAGAAAGACTACGAGAATTACTTGACGGCCATAAATAGCACTTAAAATATATTTAATAAAGTTTAGTTGTTTATAAGCTATTTAATTCGCAACCTTACATATCAATTATAATAAATAAAGTATGCAATAGGAAGTTTTTTTTTTTTAATAAATAACGTTTCTTCTTTGTAATAAGCTCCCGCCTGAGATAAATCCTCACCATTTACATATCCGGATTTGACGTAAGCGAAGACCAGGCCGAGGCCTCTGAAGTAACGATTAAAAAATTCAAATATTGTTAATTGTGTTGCCTATGTGCATAAAATTTCCATCATTACAACATTCACATTCTTTATTATACAATTTATATAATAATTAATATTCAAATTGAAACAGAGCTGTTTTATAATTCCATTCAAATTTAATAGATCATGGTGGGAGTTTTGTTATTTTAGTGTTGGTACTGCAAAGCAACTGTTGGCTCTTTGTTTGAGATTTTGAATGAAATGTCAGCAGCAATTTAACGGTTTCTGAGAGAGGTTTTGTGTCGCTGTGATTTTTTGATTTTATAAAGATTTGTGTAATTGTTCTTTAATGTCGACTCGTTGAACTCTTAAAAATAATGAGCGAAATCGTGGATGTACCCACCGTGGATTCCACAATCGCCTTGGAAGAAAGGTAAATTCTATTTTCCTATTAACACACACTTGTTTTTTCTTTTAATGATTTTGCTTTTTATTCTTTGGCTTTTTATTCGGAGACATGCAAGTGTTTTTAAATTTTGCACAAAAAAAAACACAAATAACATGTCTGAAACTAGTTTGGAAATTTTGTGATCACAAACAACACTAAGATGCAACTAGAATGACCACTAACACCAGGGACTGTTTTCCGATTCACAGACGGTGAAGTGAGTTTATATTTGTTTATATTACCTGTATCAAGTCGGGAAGTCTCTTTATACTTTTAATATTTGTTTATATAAAAAAGCGTAGATAGTGTGTTTATATATTATAATAATGATTGGACACAATACATTTGTGTTTTGCATTTACAACAAACACAAATTATAATTGTAAAGTATAGTCAGCTTTAAGCAAAGCTTACAAAGAAAATCGAAGATGGTTAATATATTCAAAATATACATAATATGTGTACATAAGTTTTAAAAATGATGTAGCGAAATGCCTTATGCGAGGTGCTCGAGGTTCCCTGTATATGGATATAATTACAAATTGTTCATTATATTTAGTAAATATGTGTTTTTCAAATGTCAAAGAAAGTCGTAAACACAATTGTATTGTTTCAATGATTTTGTTTTGTTTATGTCATAGGCTACTTAAGAATAACATTTTGTCAACAAATTAATGCAAGGGTGTTAAAATTTCAAATTCAATTGAAACAATGTTGGATTTACGAATTATTTGTTTTTAAATTTATTGTAGTGTCAAAGTAAGTCAAATAATAATTATTTTGTTTTGTTTATTTCAACGAAAAACGTTCATGGTATTACAAATACTTTCTTATTGAGAAAAAAATGATTATTTTTATTTTAAGTTCTTTGCTGTCATTATTATAATAATGTTTGTATTTTTATATAGGGAAAAGTGACTAACACTAGATATGTACATTTGTATTATATTATAAGGGCAGATATGCACAATTTAAGGGGTAAGTATAAATAAAAATATCAAATTTGTATATATCCATCAACAGGTATTTATTATTATAGGTTTATAAAATATTGATATAAAAGTAATTTGGAAGCTTGAGAAAAGTTCATGAGGATTGCGCAGATGTGTCGAATAGGATGAGAGAAGTAATTCTAAGTAACTGGTTGTAATTCGTTTTGAATAATGTAAGAGTGAGAGGGTCAAATGGGATGAGTATCGATTAGCGGACGGAGGACGAGGTCGTGAGAGGATGCTGGGGCTGAAAGGATGTGACGCTGTAGAGCGGGGGAATATGTAATCTTCGTTTATTTTCGTGGATGCTGGCTGAAGCGGCGCTCGTCTTTTTCAGAGCGCGCGCGAGACGCACAGGCGCGAACTTTTTCAGTCTTTGAGCAACGGTCGCATTGTTTGCACGTGTGGTATATGGGTATGCGCTTCGCTGACGAACCACAACATCAACGATATCAATAACTCTATACAAGCAGTACGAATTGCCGGTGCTCGTTATCTTAGAACTTAGCGAGGAGAAAGGTCATGATCATTCTGAGATGGTAAAGGGCGTGCAATGTAGCAGGGGTAGTGAAACGTAGCCTTTGCAAAGAGTGGAGCAGTGTGTGCGTGTTTGTGTACAATGTGACATCGAGAGGTGGCTGAGATTGTTGTTATTGTTCTTCTCTTAGTTTCTTCTTGTTGTTTCTGATGCACCCGTTTGGTGGTTAGCCTCCCTCCACCAATCTTTTTGGTAGTTAGACGACGTAGATGTCCTTCTTCAACTTTTCAGGGGCGGGAAGCCCCCCGCGAAGGTCGATCTCGCAGCCGGCCCCGAAAAGTCCCTTCTGGTAAGCACATGTCTCTTCTCTCATCGTACACCCAAGTTTACTTCACATCGAAAACATTATTGTCATTCATCTCTATGACAACAATAAATTAATGAAGTACGTGACTGGTTGAAACTTTGACGACTCGCAATCAACGATAAATACAATACTGTTAACAGTCTACGCGATACCGAAGGTGTCTAACAGATTTGCAAACTAAATACACATTAATTAGGAACAACCACTTTTATGGTGTAAGGACGCTATTGATTGAGAAACTTACTACTTGTTGACACAGCTATCTAGATTTAGAATTTTCTTTTGTTTTTGATATTTGTACAGTGTCTTTATACTAATACCGTTATCTGCAAATATAGTCATACATTTCCTATCATCCTGATTATTCAAATATTACAGACGTTCGTGCATAATGCACGTTCGTACACGTTGTTTATGGCTTAACGAAATTGGATCGCGTTTCCAAATATGAAGTGAAATACACAGTTATCGTCTGGGTAATTAAAACACCATGTATTGTCAACCGAACATAATGGGTAACCCGCATCCTTTTAATCACTGCTCGCAAGTTAATTCTTCCGTTTTATTCTTGTTCTATCGATGCTCCTTTCTACTTGTTACCGACGATAATATTTTGGATTTTGGAGATTAATAAATAAATGTATGCGGATAATTTTTATTATTATGAAATAGAAAGAAAATAAAAGTAAAACGCAAGTCGCAAGGTGGACTGACAGAAAAGTCGTCCTCCTGCCTATCTGCGAGCTCTTGCCAACTACTTTGATATTTTTAGTTTGCCACGGGATATACAGAAACATAGCGAGAGAGAAAGAAACGTTGCCAGTGTGAAAATAAAACCGTATTACGTGTAAATATAACATAACGTCGTTTGGTTCAATGAAATTTAACTTTTTTATCTTCTTAAAATGCACTATAGCTTTCTTTTCCCATTAGATAATCAGTGTTTGGTATAAATGACCTGAATCCTTGTTATTCTCCCCAGATTGCAGTTTCTATGAAATTTTGCGATGAGCAACAAGAGAATGATAGAACGCTAATAGAGGATGGTTTTCGGATGCTTCCCGATTCTGACGCAATGCTCTAATTTTAGAAACTCCATATTAATGATAATATGTATATGTATATTGTCGGGTATATATGTGTGTGTTATTCGTGCAGATGAATTTCACTATATATTACGCCAACACAAGGAACGTCCAATAAAAAAGTAATCTTGCGTAATAGTCGCAATTTTGTTTACCATGAGCATGTGCCAGTCAGTCAATTCAAACAAAGATTTGAATGGTGATTTTTATAAATTGGAATAGGCATTGTGCTCTTCCCATTGACCATCTTTTAAAATTGCATTGCATTAGATTGTTGTTGGGAAGGATGGAAATACTGCTTCACTTCTGGTAATTGCAGTTGCAGCGTGGGCACCACCAGAGTAAAGGATGAGAAGGGCAAGCCAGCGTCTCTCTCTGGGTTTTTGTCGCGCGTCGTTTTCAATTAATTCGACCTCGTCAGCCAAAGCCAACGTTAAATTGATTAGTCATATCGCAAAACGAAGCAACAACTGGTTGGGTGCTATATTTTGAATGTATGTGGTGAATGTACTCTACATTTCATATTGCGATAAAGACTTGCTCTTTCTTTATTTTGTTTTTAAATACAATTTATATTTGAATCTACGAGTCTGAGGCGGTAGCTATAAAATGATGATGTTGGATATAATTATATCAAATAATAATATATTAATTACATTACTTTTATTTTAAATTGAGATATATTATGTGGACTGAACGACAACTCTGTTAAATACATCAAGTTACGAAGATGTTGGTATAGAATCATGTGATTTAACTATATTAATATGAATTATTAATAAAAAATTATTTACATTAAAGTATGAATCATTATTATATCATAATATATAAATTAATATTTTTAAATTTTCTATTTTTTTTTGTAAATCTTTTATAATAGTTTACTTTACTTGTCTATTTACTTGTGTATTTTCGGATAATCTGAATTAATTTTTAAATATTAAAATATCAAAAATATGCAAAATTAACTCAAAACGTTTCAAAATTCTAGATAATCTAACATTTTCTTTCAAATTTATACCATATTTTCGGACAGATAATTATTTATGTAGTTGCATATTTGCCGTTATTAGATTTCACTTTGAATCAACAACAATGATTGTTTTTATTAATTGATTCATGTTTCATGATTTGAACCGTTCTTTGAGCGCTAAAAGCAAATTTTGTTCTATTCGACGTGAAGTATAAATCATTCCGATTTCTTCACGTGGGGTGCTGTTTGTCTTTGTGGTTATTTGAAGACGGATTTCCTTCTTATATTTATAGACCGGATTTGACTAGATATGGTTTTTGAAGCACCAAACAGTCTGGTGAGGGCGGTAGAGATATATAAACGGGCTCCAGAAATAAACGTGCGGGGTTTGTTGTTTACTCATTAGTTGCTTCATAATTTTCTTCATATATTCACCACCACCACCTCTCTCCGTTCGCGGCACGCCACATCTGCTCCAAAAACATGAATGAGATTACGGTTCTTTCGCTTCTAATTTAAAAAGATTTCGATGTTGCCTGCATCTGCAACGCCCGCAAGATTAGAGACAATATGTGAGGAATGCCATCACCACATATTGCTGTTGGTTAATATAGCTGCTGCGACCGAGTGCCACGCACTTCCTGGATTATTAGTCAGTGTGCGTTTGTTTCACAACAGGCGTCGCGACGCCGACGCCCACGATAGCGCCAATAGGAAGAGGATAAGCGACAGAAGAAGGTTCGTTGGCCTCTTCATATGGCGATTATAAACGAAAGGTTAAGAAGAATACGCGACTCCTCCGGGTTACTGTCGCTGCTATTGCCGATGGTGAGCATCGCGACGCTGCCGAAACTATGTGCATCGTCGTCTATTAAAAAGCGGAGACCGGACGCTATTTCTATATCTATCTGCCATCGTGCTCCTTCTCCTGTTTGCCTGATTTTCTACATCGAGTGTCTTATTTAACAGCTGATAAGAGTAGTCCTAATCATCCGTTGACCCCGAAACGAAGGAGACTCTTTGCTCTTTATCAGCTTTTCTCTATAATCTCTATAGTTACGAGTTTACATTTACAAAAGAAGAGACACACACATGTCTGTGCAAAAGTCCGTACTTATTATTTATTTGCCTTAATGTATCTGTAGATTGTTACTTTTTTATTACGTAATAACAGTTTTTTTATATTGATTAGAATGAAATAATGGGCAAATTAAGTGTACATATACAAAGAGGTTCCACTTGCTTACATGTTCTTTGTTTGTCCCGTTTAATGAGTTTAAACCTATGGAATGCAAAACACCAAATGAACCAAGTATCAATCTTAAAACTCTACACTTCATATCCATCCACCCTCGCTCTGCTCTCTTTTCCGCTCGCATCCTTTTTCATGCTCCGTTCCTTACCTACATACACTCGTTGTGCGACATCTTCACGTATTTTTCTTTTCCTTTCTTTTTGTTTTGTTGTTGCTGCTACTTCCATTTCTATATTTACGTGGTAATTAAAACGGGCATACGAAAATAAAGCCGCCGCCCGACTTCGCCTCGAAATGTCAAAAACGAAACACGTTCGTTCGGGTGCGACCTAAAGAGATGCGTAGATATAATGGCGAGTAAAAGTTGCGTACAATGAAGGAGAAAAGATTCATCAAAATTTCGAACTGTAAGTTGGTGGAAACCAAGGGAACGCACGATGTCCATAGTTTAAACTAGTCTGTTTGCGTTATTTTAGTTCCATAGCAACGTGTTCTAGGTAATGCAATAGTAACATTATTTCTAGGTTGCCGTCGCAAAAAATTGACTGTTATTCTCTTTCTCGCTCTGATGTCGCGTGCCGCAAACTGTACGATATAATTGAACTCTCATTCACTCGATTGAATTTGATAGGGAGCGATATTATATTGTTTTTCGTATCGTTGAATATTTTAGATTAATCGATGGCCGTAACGAAATTAAAATCAAAAAAAAACATTTACGTCGGTTCGTCCGCACCGAATTGCGATGGAGCAACAAGCAAACCAAAATATTTACATTTCCTTTGGAAATTTTTATGTTTTCCATTTTCACATTTCATCTTGGACGTATACAAACCGTTTCGTCCCGAAAATCGAACAAGCTTTGACCTCGATAGTATTGCTATGAGAAAAGGTTTGTGGAAATGGGTCACTTCCAAGGACGTTGTACTATGGGCGTCAAAGCTTTTGCGGATGTACAAAATACATTAAAAACCACTCAAAATATCGTCGTTTCTTTGGAACAACGACGAAATTGCCTCCTTTTGAGGGTCAAAGTTCAAAAAAATCTAGCACAGTATTGTGTAATTGGGACTGGCTCAGAACTGCTGAGTTCCAGTAAATCGTTACTTGAACGTACAAATCTTTGTGTATATGAACGTTGAAAAATTACTAATACGGTTAATAAATATGTTGTTGGCGGATGCGCCGGGTGAAATATTGTAGCTAATGTTTTTTCTTTTTTTGCAGCACGAGTCCAAGTCAGCTGTACGAAACGACGCTGGATGCGGATACTTCAAATGCATGTAAGTATTATTTCTTTGCTGTATCATCAACTTTGTAGTATATCAATTGTCGCGCCTCTATTTTGTTTGAAATATAATCGGGTTGCTTAATTCGTGACAGGTTCTAAACATAAGCAACATGGACAAACTGTTTAATTTCTATTCCCGCCTATTTTTTTTTGTATGAAAAATAAATATAACAAACGTAAATTATATTGGTTAAGATTTCCAAAGTACTGTTAATTTTTCGTCATTGTATTCTGGAGATAGTGAGAATATATTTACGTTTGCTACATAACTCAAAATCAGCGCGTGCGCTTTTTTTTTTATTTATAGCGGGTATTATTTTTGAGTTGTCGAAAAACCATGCCAAAAAATGTAAACGTAAATAAACCAAACCTACGATTTTATTTCTTCTCAGTTCCACAAAATTATGTAATTAATTGTTTGCACGGGAATTAATCTATTCGAAAATTGAGGGGTCGAAAATAAATTCCTTACGATTCATTTCGGCAGAAGAAGAATTATGAGTTTGTGACCCAATTACGTAAGTTAGGATCGGCGTGTGCGTGTTGTTTTTGCGCGCGAATTTAAATTTAGAAATGTAAGCGAGATGGCGCTACGGCAATTGGCAGGTACAGAAAAGAGATGAAGTATTTTGATCCGTCTTGTCTGACTTCTATCCTTTGCTCCCCTTCTCTCTTTGCAAATTGTCTGTCTCCGCCGAATGCTGCGAGTTCGCTCTTCTCTTCTGGCAACGGTTCAATGAAAGAGAAGCCCAACAAAACTCAAAATACATTTATCTAGGGGAATTAAATAAAGGAAGGACTTTAACTTGTATCTTTTCCATTCCTTCTTTTTATCATTTTGTAATTGTTTACTTATTGCCAATATTAAATATAATATTAATTTGTCAAATAAAATGTATTATTTTCTTTACTTTGCATTGCTTCATGCACTATTTACTTATAAATTTGAGCATTAATGAAATATATTCGAAATCAATACGAACGTACATTGTTTTATATCTTGATTGTATTTTAAAAATAATTAGTTAGTGTATCAATACTAATTTGGTTAAGAATGATATTCTAGTTCACATAGTGTTAGTATTTATAGGGTTACTGAATCTTCTTATTGGAGGCTTTCGTTTTCTATAAGGGGTTGCTGAATGTTCTAAAGAAAAATTGTTTTAATGTTGGCAACTCTTTCTGCCTCGTTCCAGCTGTAACTTTCTTTCGATATATATACAGTGACGGATTAATCACTTGAGAGGCCCCAGGAGCAAATAAAACTCCCTCTAGATATTTCCAATTCAAATATTTGTTTATTTGATAAATGTATTTGTTTTTGAGGAGCAGACATCCCGACAAAAAATACCACCCTTAGGTTCAACATCCCAAGAATAAAATGTAAAAGCGGGGTGGTATTGCGCTAATCCGCCACTGTATATATATATATATATCCATGTCTCGTTGCATCGACGTCTTACTTCGTGCAATCTTAACAGGAAATGCGTTTTTAAAAAGTTCTTAAAATACACATCGTACTAATTGCCTTGCCAGTTCGAGGGGACCAGTACCGCTGCTATTTAATTCCGAGGACTTAGTTGATGATGCGTCCTCTTCTCCTCTTTCTCCTTTCCGTTCCCATCAACTCCTTCTTCCGGAACTAATAATAATAATACGTAATTCAAAATACGAAACATACCCAGATGCTGTTATGCAATATCCTTCATTCAATAGACCGTAAACAGAGGCGCACTTTTTGGAGGTCAAAGGCGGCCACGACTCATCCGTCTACCTCGCATTTTATTTGACTTGATTTCATTTTTATTTATTTTTTTCCACATTCGAAATCATTCAGATGTCAAATTAGTTTTGTTACTGTGCGTGTTTTTTCTCCTATTCTTTTTTCGGAAATTCCTTCCATCCCGAATTATTTTCCCTCGTGCAACAATACATCCGCCCACCAGAAGCTCGATTTGCCCGTCAACATCATACAATATTTCGCGGGAAGAATTTCAGACGACGTTCGGACGTTTAATTATGTGCAGTTTCTGCCTGCCGGTTGGGAATTTGTACAAAGTTTTCGGTCCGTGTTTGCTTGAGTTCTGTGATCCTTTCTGCGCCCACGAACGCGACATCTTCTTGAAACATTTCCGGGCGGTGTACGAGTCTCGCGGTGCGAAGGCTTTCCTCTTTCATTTATATAATATGTACATGGATGTCCTCTTCTTCTTCTGACGTAAGATACAGCATAGAAGAATCATAAACAATAGACCGATTCCGATTGAAATTGTCGATCCGATTGTGTTTGTGCGCGTGTTGCGTAAGTTCAAACTGGTCATGGCATCCAGATTTTACATTAAGGATGTCATAAAGTCAGTGCTAAACATGGAGGAAGGACGTATAGCTGCTGAAGCTGATATGGCTACGTTTTCTGATTGCGAAGAGTGTGAAGTTGATCGTGTCAAATCTTGCGGTAAACGCAAAGAACATATTATTATATGTATGCAAATTGTAAAATTTTAATGTTTATTCGAATTTTCAGATTCCATGGGATTGGGAGGAGCGCGCGGCGCATCTCGAGGATGCAGCGTAAAGGAGTTCGAGGAGCAGCTGACAACTTTGCGCAAAGAGAACTTTAATCTTAAGCTGAGAATCTACCTTCTGGAGGAGCGCATGGGACCCAACTACAATTTAGACACGGAGAGCGCCGTCAAAAAAAACATAGAACTCTCGGTAATAATCTTTTAGAAAAGCAACTAGACTTTTTGACATTATCTTTAATTAACTTTGTATTTTGTTGTAATTTTAGGTTGAATTGGAGACGTTGCGGAAGGAGCTGCAGGAGAAGCAGGATCTGCTATGCCAGGCGGTGACTGCCATCGAGATTGAAGAGGAGGAGTACCGTAAGGAGGCAGAGAACAAGCGGAAAGAAATCGAAGATCTTAAGGTGCAGCTCGACACGCTCCAGCAGCAATTCGACGTAAGAGTTTGTTGTGTAATACCAAATAAAAGGTTCAGTTTTAATATTTAGATTTGTTGTGTTTCAGATGGTGCAAGAGGAATCTCGATCGCAAGGTGATCATTCATCCGTTGACGGCCGTTCAGAGGTCTTCTCGCAGGCTTTCACCTTGACAAACAAAGTCGCCGATTTGGAGAATCAGGTACGTCTTCATACCTTTCTTATCGTAGTTGGTTTATTTTTTCTTTTTCAAATTATTATTTTGTTGATAGCGATATTGAAATGTGAATTCTATTTGAAATTTAATGTGTGCTCTGTTTAGTTACGGTGCGAGAGGGAAACTGTGGAGAAGTTGAGCAATTTGTTAAAATACCCTAAACCGACGTTGGACGTTGAAGAGCTGCAAGTGGCGCTGACAGAGAAAACTGAGAAGCTTGAGCAGGCGATGGCCGAACTGGAGGAGAAGTCGCAATCCCTGGCAGAGGTTAGTTCAAAGCTCGAGACAGTCGAGCAGGAGCTGCTAGTAAAAAAGGACGAGGTCAATTACTACGAGGGCGAGCTTAGCATGAAAGCGAACGACCTTGAGGAGGCGCAGGAGAGATTGTCTGAAATGGAGGTGCTCTATGAGGATACGAAAGCGCAGCGCGAGCATGAAGCCAAGAGGAACGAGAAGAACAAGATCGCTGTCTCGAATCGGAACAACAAGATCAGCGAGCTCGAGGGAACGGTCGAGCGGTACAAGCAGAAGGTGCTCAGTCTGGAAGCGAAGCTCGAGTCGGCCCAAAACGAGGTTAAAAGTAAAAAAGACTTCGGGAGTCCGCGACCACCAACGGCTCGCACCACCCCCGACCATTCTGACCCCGCTTCATTTCCAGTGCGCAGTGCGGCGACGACTCCAGAACATTCACCTAAATCGGTATCAAGAGTAAACTCGTCGGGTATCTTCCGTCCGCATCGCACCACCCCAAATTCCAGTATGCAGATGAGCGGCAACGAAGATGGTGACGTCAGCATGGACAACACAGACCACTCGTTCTGCGTGGACGATCTGCAGAATGAGCTGCTGCTGAGCCGAGGACACGCGAAAAAGTTGGAGCAGGATCAGCTGAAAGCGTGCCGTATTATCCAAACGATGATCGAGAAGCGGAAGAAAAGCCAGAAGGAGATCGAGGAGCTGCAGAGGAACGTGAAGGAGCGAGACGAGAAGATCGAGGAGTTGTCTGGGAAGCTGCAGCAACAACACCATGATCGTCATCAATCTCAGATGGACGATAGCAACAGATCTGCGATGACAAATTCTTCCGACCCATCCACAGGAAATAGCAACAACAGTAACAACCGCAGCAGATCAACGTCGCTTCTTCAGACCAAAATATCCGAGCTTAATCTGACGGCAGCATCACCGACGTCCGACGCTGAGGTACTTAAACTTAGAACAAGTAGATGTCGCAGTAGTCTTAAAATTAAGACTCTTAACAAATAATGTCAGTAGAAAATTGACAAAGGTTTTTCCCAGTTAAATTTTTCATAGATCTAGTTTTTCAAAAATTATTAGTCTTGCTGTGTAGCTTATATAGGAGGGACCTGCAAACTAGATTCATTCATCAAAGGTTTCCATATAATACAAATTTCTTAAATATCAATTTGTAAACGATCCGAACGTTACGCCACTGTCGAAAGCTCCTTTGAGTTCTAACTCTGCAGACTTCTTGCTTATTAATTAATCATAGCTCTGTGCTTATTTCTAGGGGAACGATGCGCTCTCTATCTTCTTATTACTCTACTATTTGCTTTTCTTCTCTTCTTCCGTGGAGGAAGAGTTTGAGTTGTATACTGCAATCGCGTGTACACTCCATTTCTAAAAATAACTAAATTAAACACCTCTCTTGCGAGTTGAAGCGGCAGCTCGTGAACGGAATTAGTTTTAGCATACGTGAACACAGCTCATGACGCTCGTAATAATTCGAATTCAAGACAATAGAAAGAAACAAATAAATCACGCGTCGTTTTTATAGATATATTAGAGGCTTATTCAAACGTGAGATGTGATAGGTAGATCCAGTGCGCTTGTTAATTATATTCTAGTCAAAGCTTCTATTACCTACGAGTTGCTTCCCTTAGCAAGTATTTACCGGAATAGCGGATGAGTCAATGCGCGATGTTTTCGTGTGTTGTCTGCCAAAAGGTCACTGAAACTTGCTTTTTAGGCTAAACTAGTTTTAAGACTGTAGATTTGCTTATTTATTTTTCTAGTAATAATATTTATCTCGAGTTTTACAAATAACGTTAGTGCCTGTTTTACTATTATTTAGTATTAGTATTTAAAGAAAAGATCAGGTAATTTTATTTTTAAATAATTACAATATTTCTATTAATAATGTAGCTTCCTTTTTTTTACCTGTGTGTTTACAATTTTTCTAGTTTTGGTATCATGTTTTGGACACAGGTATACTAATTTCGTCTTACCTCCGTGCTTATGAATCCTCCACCTGATCCATCCACCAAGTATCTTGTTTATTTCCATCTAAACATTTAATCGATGAAAATAGTAGGGATACGACGCTAATTAAATAACAAAGATCGTAGACCTTTTTTTAACTAAACTAACCAGAAAATCAAAATCTGTATCTCCTACAACAATCAAACTGCTTCAAAAGAATTATACTTATATTTATACATAAATTATTAACAATATATTATGAATAGAAATTATATTAACACAGGCCAATTAATAAAGGGAAACGAAACTAATCTTGATATCAAAAACAAAAGCATTTTATTGTTTAATTTTGGTTTTATTTTTTGTTTTGTTTGTTTGCTGTTTTTTTTAATGTTTAATATTTGTTTTCTCATTTATGTAACATCTCTGTTACTTAGAATAATGTTCTTTTAAATTATTATTTTATTGAAAATAAAGAGCATGCAAATTTTGGTTTTCTTGGTTTTTTTTTTATTATTTACATATTCTCAGATGTATAGCGGATTTCCTTTACGTTTCCAGGACTCATCATGAGTGTATTTGATTCATCGTTTGGTTGCTGTTTGTTTGTTATTTTCCACATGTTTGTTTTATATTTTTGCAGTGCTCGGCGCTCGCTCTGGAAACTACTTCATCTGAGAATCCGCAAGAACTACTGGCAAAGAGTATACAATACAATGAGAACTTGGAGACTGAGAAAAAAGTATGTTTTATTGTTGCCATTTATATTTACTATTATTTACGAGATTATTCGGTTTAGTTGTTGAAAGAGATTCTCCGAGTGAAGGATGAGCACATGGAGGAGCTACAACAACGGCATGAGCGCGCTTTAGAGGAGACGAAGCGATTGAAGGACGAAATTGTCGATCTACAGTTCGAGGCGTGTTCTCGCGATGAGCAACCGTCTGAGAAGTTCGACGTTGGCAACGAGAAGGTTGGATACTGGATACAGAAGAGCGAGGACAAGGACAAGGAAATCGAGCGATTGGAGAAGGAGCTGAAGAAACGGACATGCGATCTGCAGAGCGTCGTCAACAAGGAACTGTGGGACAAGAACCGCGAGATCGAGCGATTGCAGAAGTCCGGGTCGAAGGATGCGACAATCTCTGAGCTTCGCAAGGACGTGGCAGCAAAGGACGACGTGTTGAAGGCGCTGCAATGCAAACTGGAGGAGCGCAAAGCATTGGAAGATACGTTCAAGGAAAAGCTGAGAAAACTGTCGGACGAACGATTGCGATTGCTTAACGAAATTGAGGAGCTCAAGGATGAAGTCTCACATTTGAATGTCGACGAAGACGAGGCGAAGAATCTACGGCTGGAATTAGAGACATGTGAACGGATGCGCTGCGATACCCAGCAGGTGTGTCAACTATTGAACGTGCGTCTGAAGGAGTTGGCCACCTTCCTCAGTTCTCTTTTGAAGAAGAAAATTGTGCTAGGATTACTCGGACATACATCGCGGATTCGCCAGTACATCGACGATAGTCTGAATCTATCGCGTTCGCTTTCGCTGTCCATCAACATGAATCCGGACGAGAGTTTAATGCAGCTCTCCAATATTTCGACGTTGCTGAAGACGCAGAACGATACCTTGGATATCTATGAATTTCTAAATCAAACTAACAGTGAAGGAGGAGAGGTAGATGATGATGATCTTGATTGGGAGGAAGAAAAGTCTTCGTTAAGTCTGATACCCGAGCAGATCACGTTCAGCTACCAGAGCCACATCTACAACAAGCCGGGCGCGGAAAATAAAATCCACCAGCAGGATAGAATAATACAGGTAATTATAGTTACACCGCTCTATTAATTTTTAGTAAAAAAAAATGTGTCGTTATTTGTTTGGTTTAGAAGTTAAGAAGCCAGGTGGCACAATTGATGAGCGCGCTGCAGTTGCGCGACAATAAACTGCTGCAGCAGACCAAAGACGACGAAGATCTAGTTAATGCGATCGTCTCGATGAATCCGCCGGTGATGATGCAGAGCGTCTCGTCGCCGGACAGCATCCTTCAGAATCTGATGCGCATCAATCTCTCGACAAACACCTCATCCACTGTGAAGTACGTGGATCACAGCGGCAGCGATTCCTGGTCGGAACCGGACAAGTCAGTCTCCAAGGCCAGGATAGGATTGGACGAGGAATGTTTGAAGCCGGTGTCGAAGGACGATTCGACGGAAGGTGCATTATCCTCGTTAAACAAATCACGAACGCCGTCAAAGAGGAGCTCCAGTGCCAGCGAGAATAAGCAGATCATCAGAGCGTTGACCAATCAGATCGAGTGTCTGGAACGTAGGCTGGAGGAGAAGGATGTCCTTTGCAACGAGGAGATTGTCAAAACCGAAGGGCTGATCCTGGAAATTGTCCAGCTGAACGAGAAACTCGAGGAATCGAGAAGCAGCTTGTCTGACTCGGAAAGCAAAGTGCAACAACTTCAGCAGATCATCGAGGAGCTGCACTCAAACAAGTGCAACCTTATAAAAAATATGAACAGTAAAACCAAGTCGGTGCAGAACATGATCAATCAGCTGGAGTGCGAAAGGGCGCAGGCGATGGCCGAAGCGAAGGATGCCGAGGAGCATGCGAAAATCGCCAGAGGTCAAGTGGCAGAGTACAAGTCGAAGCTGAAGTGCGCCGATGAAGAATTCAAACAGAAACTGAAGGAAGTTGAGGCGGATTACGAGAAGAAAATGAAAATGCTCGAGGTGCGCACAGAGCAACAAGTTATAAAAATTACGGAGGTTGCGAACCAAATGAAGAGCATGTACGAGACCGAGTATGTGAAGCGTTCCGAGGTGGATCATCTACGTTCCATAATTAAGGATCTAGAGTCGGTGAAGCAGCTTTTGAAAGTATCGGAGGATAAGATCGAGCATCTCAGGAAAAACGAGGCAGGTCTGAAGATGCGTTTGCAGGAGGTCGAGACGGAGAGCAGATCGAAGATCACCGAACTGCGAGCGGAATTGGACCGCGCCACTCTTCAGTATTCGGAGGCTATTCTGGAAAAGTCCCGTATCATGGATGACAAATCCAAGCTGGAGACAGAGAAGAGCAGATTTGGAGAGCGCGAGGCCGATTTTGTGCGGCAGATGAGTGAACTGAAGGCCGACTTTAACACGCTCAAGAAATATCAGAAACAGGTGGGCGTACTTGAGGTACAGATTACCAAGCTGCAGGTGAAGATCAGCGAGTTGGAATCAAAAAACGCCGATCTGATGAATAAACAATTCAAAGCTTCCGCCGCAGCCTCTATTTCTTGCGCTGCAGCTACCGCTAATGCAAAGGTCTCTACGAGTGCGGAGACCGGGGCCGGAGAACATCTCTCCTCATCTCCGCAGAGATCGAGAATCTTGGATTTATATTGCAATAGATATTCACCGCGTCTGATCAACGATGAGGAAACGTTAGAGGTGGAGAGGATGCACGCAAACTCCTCTCCGGATTTGGGCATCGAAAGCGATCAGGGCAGATTCTCCAGCCTGGAAGGTGTTGGAAACACGAACGTCTCACTTGCCAGACCATTACTGCAGACGCTTGAAGTGTCCCAATCGATGAGTAATCTTCTCGACAAAGAGAACATTATGGCAAAATGCAGTAAGTGCATTAAAGTTATTATTAGTTGGTTGCAATTTAACATATTTTTTTGTTGTTTTTGCAGGCAACGAGGAGTGCAGCCAGAGGACGTCCAAGATCATGGAGGAGAACTTCTTGCTTAAAACGAAGCTAAACAAGTCGCACAAGATGCTAGAGGCGACAGTCGTGAAACTTGCTAAAGCCAATTTACAAAAAGAGCGAGTCGAAGGTAAAATTTATAAGGAGATCCACAAGACGAGCCAAATTCTGAAGATTGCAAAGGCCAATTTGGACTCTGGATCGGATACTGAATTTAAGAAGAAGTGATGCGATGAGATAAGGGAAATGAGAGAGAAAATACTATTTTCTGTGTTGATGTTGTCAATTTGTCCTTTTAATTTATTCATTTTTATTTCTGACCATTCATTTTTTATAAAATCTCCTGCGCTGCTCTCAATATCAAAACTTTTTAATTAGTAAGTCGTGTCCATCTGATCTGAAATAAATCTCCTACACCGCACTTCAACTCCCCGATAACATACCACCATCTATCTAATGGACCAAACTAAACGTTTATTTTGTTTTTATTTATTTCTAACGTCTACTACATTTAAAATTTGTAATAATATATAGTATATTTTTTTAATTTATTTTAATAATTGAACTGTTTTTAATGTCGTTTCTCTCCCTCGCATAATATTATTCGTTGCAGTTGCAAGAAATGTGAATTTTTTGGCATTGTCGCGCGTTAACTCTTCGGTTTATACCTTCCGACCAATTACTAACACATTCCTTTTACTTGCCCCATCCACCACTATGCCAAAAAAAGGAGGAAGAACTAGCATGCAGAATTATTTTCTATGTTATTTTTATCCAGTGTCATTGACTAACTCAATTTTACGCTAATATATCCCTGACCAACTTTTAATATTGTTGAGTATTTTTTCTTTTTCCGTTAATTACGAAATGTTTTTTTTCTTGTAAATTTTAATTCAACGACTGAATTTTCACTACAAATAATTGATGTGTGATATGGCAGATGGATGATGATGCTTTGTCAGTATCCCGTCCAAAAGTTTACGCATGTTCCTCTAATTTTTGTTTTAAAGTCCAAGCACTAACTTTGTTGTTGCAAAATAACACAAAACCTATCCAGAACTGCAAAAGAAAGTCATCTTTCTGTCTTGAAATTGTTTGCATTGAAACATATGAATATATTAGAATGTTAGTTTGTTGACTGGAATGAATGAGAGATATTGATTTGTTGCCATTTACTTAATATTATTGATTGAATTAATTGAAATTATATATCATTAGTATGCAGGAGCATTGAAAGAAAAAATAACTTATCTGGTGAGCATACTTGTGCGAAATATGGAGTGCTTTTATTGATGAAGCATGAAAATGGACAATTATTATTTAAGAAAAAAAAAACGAACGAATTTTGGAACGCTCATGAGGGATGATAGAGTTTGTCATCAATGAACAATGTTTGTGGATGTGATAAAAATTCCTTGTGCCAAATTATTTTTTTAAAAAACTTTCTACTTTTCACTGTTTTTGTTCCGCGTTCATTATATTTGTTTTTGTAAATAAAGGAACAGGTGTTTGAAGTGTTAAGACTCCGGGGGAAATTCCCCAAATACATGTATTATAACTGTGTATATAGATAAAAAAAAATAAAGTTTAAACTATGAATTGATTTCTATACATTTTTTATGTAAAAATATATATTATTTATATAAGTACTTATAATAAAGAGTTTGGCATTATGGATTTAGTGTTCATATGTGTCAACTTCTGTCAAGTCCTCATAGTCATTCAAGAGGATTTGAAACTTGTCGAGGATGTCAAAGATCTGAGATTTCCAGAATTTTGAGAAGAGAATATTGAACAGCGTTAATTCGGAAACAAGAGCTTTGAGTTTTTCGAGTTCGGCGAAGTGCTCTTTGTGCGATCGCAGATAGATCTTCAAATGCTCGACGCTTCCGTCGCGACGCGCCATATTCTCGTTAACCAGTTGCCTGAGATATCGTTCGACGTCATCACTTGGTCCGCCCAACAAATCTTCAACGAAATTACCGTTCTCACCTGGAAAGTAATTGCTTTCCCCTGACGTATACCTTACAATGTGCTTGCAATAACAGATCTTCAACTTCTGTTGGGTCATTGCGTTGTGAATCTCATCCTGGACGTTGTAGATTCTAGCGCCCAGATTTTTGTAGAGCGGCGAGCATTTCTTCAATCGGCTACTGAAAGTTTTTAACATAATCAGCCACCTATTATCGGTGTCAAAGTCTTCTTTTGATATTTGAAGCATATCCGACAATTGTTTGATGATTTCCCGCAGATCGGCCAAAATTGATTCCAACATTCCATTGAAACATTCACTCGATTCCTCCATTAACTTACGCTTGAGTTCGACGATCTTGTCGAATTCCGTATTGTAATCAATTAGTTTTTCGATCGATCTGACGTAATCGATAATAACGCCCTTGTTGCGAACCAAAAAATCGCATAGAAAAATGTACGTCGAATTTAGTTCTACGGTGCATCTCTGAGCAAACTGCAAATCATTCAGTAAGTGTTGATTATTAGTGAACAGAGAAACTAATTACTAATTAAACTATTAACTTACGTTTAGCCTTTCCTTCCTGCTCAGTGATTCAAATGGTCGTTTGGTCTCTCCTTTGTCCTGGTATTGCGTCTTTCCCTTGAACTGCCTCAAAGTTATGACATATTTCATCAGATCATCGTACACAGATTTAATGCAAGCCTTCGACATGCTTATCGGCTGGTTTTCTTCTAAATGACGATTTCACTTGGCTAGTAAAATTTCTCTGAAAAAGGTCTTTACCTCTTGTGTACCTACTGGCACCATCCGCCCTACCATTTGCAAAACCGTATACTTCTTTTCACAGGAAACAAAGAAGAAACTTTCGAATCACTAGAAATTCTCAGAATTGCAGTAGACGTACTGCTTTCATCCATTTTCATATTTCAATAACAAACAATAGTATTTTATTTAGAAAAAAACGTCGTTTAAAAATAAATATATGTATATATATATATTGATTACAAAATTTCACTCTCAGCTATACTACTGTAATTTTAATTTGCACGGAGCCGTCACCAGGATCTGAGAAATTTATTTCTTGGCCTAAAACAGAAGAAAGGAAATATATATTCATTATTTTTTTTTTATTGTTTGAGTTAGGTAGAAATAAATTTCTTAGATTCGTCTGTCGGAATCGGTCACGTCGTCACTCAGGTAAATCTACGAGTCGACACCGCCTTTGTTTCATTGAGTAATTTTAGACTATTATCTAGATTCTGTTTGATGCGAGAGCAAGAGTGCGCGATCAGGTCTTTGGTGATGAGCATGTTATTGGCTTTCATCTCGTAGGAGGGCCGACACCAGAGGAGGTTGCCGCGATGCGACACCTTGTATCGGTCGACGCCACGGAAAACGAGAGGCCTGTACTCTTGGCCAGCACCGAAAACCGGGTTCTTCGGCGGACTGTTGAAGCATGGGACGCAATGAGCGACATCACCACATCTTTGCTTATGATGATACTGCTGCTGTTGGTCGACAACGGTCTCCACCGCCGCAGCCATCGAGCAACACTGACCCTCCTGCTGATGTTGATATCCTCCCACCCCCAACTGTTGTTGGTGATGGTGCAGTTGTTGGTGGTGTTGCTCGACGACGCGTCTATTAGTCCTCGTCACGCTACTCTTTATACTCAAAACTGTTACGCTGGCATTCTGGTCGATGCCGCCGCCGTTCAATACGTACGCAGAGTTTCTGTGGACCATGTACTGCGGTGGCGACCGTTGCATACCACCATCAACCTGTTGTTGTTGCTGTTGTTGTTGCTGCTGTTGTTGCTCGTACGCAGACTTGTAACGCTTTTGAATTTGGACACTGTTCGTGGTCCATGGATGCAAACCTATTGGCCTGATTGCCGTACTATCCGACGCCGTCCTCCCACCACCACCCAGTTCGTACCGTGTCTGCATATCCTCTATCTGATTCATCTGCGCCTTTGTCGCTTGCAGCTCCTTCTCCATGTACCCGACTGTGTCCTGCAACTTATACCGCTTTTCGTTCGTCATCGCAAGTTTCTCTTCCAGCTCCCTTATCCTTTTCTCGTGCCTATGATTCTCCTTCGATCTAGAATCTACCAATCCCTGCAGCTCCTGGATAATCTCGCTCTTATCCTTCAACTGATTTTGTATCTACTCGGAAAACATACATTTGTTATAACACGTACGTGTTTACGTAACTTTGAACATAAATGAAGACACAAACCTCGAGCACAAAGGTCCTAATCTCTTCTGAATACTTTGTCAAACTCTGGTTCTCCATTGCGATCTCATCCTTTTTGGCCTTCATAACTCCAATCAATCCATCCCGAACCTTCATCAGATTCTCTAAATTTGCTATGGCCTGATTCTTCTGGCCCAACTCATGTTCGTACTTGATAATCTTGTGTTCGTTCTCCAACGACTTCATCAGCGCCTGCTCCAACTTCACCTTGCCCTCTTTCAGAAGTGACTTCAACTCGTCCCCGTTCTCCTCCACGGTCAATCCTGCAATCTGTCGATGCAAGTGATCCTGCTTTGCGTATAGTGTATCAATCTCCAGCTTCTGCTTGGAGATAGTATCCTCCTGCTTCCTCAGCAACTGCTCAAACCTCGTCAAATCCTCCTCCTTCTTTACCAGCGACTTCACTATGCTATCCTGAATACCCTCCGGAGTTCCGTTCTAATAAAATATGAAATATTTATAGTACACATTCATCATATAACATCCGACCCAACAATAAGCACCATTTTTTCTATGGTCTCAATAAATCGCAACTTTTCAGTTGCATTGGCTTCGACCTTCTCCTGGAGCGCCCGGATCGCCGCCCTCTGTGCCACCACTTCAATCTGCAATTCGCATTCCCTATCTGTTTCAGGCTCTGTAATTGAATGTATCGATTAAATTATTAAATTGAATGAATGCTGGTGTACTGCTCTCACTTCCATCCGGTCCTCCTCTTCTATGTTCGTGAATAACATCCGCCGCGTTCTGCGTGTGCATTTCCAGCGAGTTGATCTCCTTCTGGAGCAACTCGCACTCCTTCTGCAGATGGATGATCTGTCTATTGGACACGTCGGCTTCGTTTCGCACCGCCTCAAGCTCCTCCTGCAGCTCCGCCTCCCGTTGCTCCGCCTCAAGACGCAAGGTTTCGATCGTGTCAGTGGCGGTTTGCAGTCTGCAAAAGAGCAAAAGCAAAATTTGTCACGTCAATCCTGAGGTTCAACACCCGAACATTGGCTCGACCTCACCTGGTCACATCCAAAAACGACGCGGCACAATGTCGGTTTTGGTGGTGCTTTATATAATTTATCTCTGATTAACAATTTTGCGTGTTTTATTGTAGAAATGAGAAAGTATGTTTTTATTAAATATCTAATAATCTATAAAGAAATTATTTTATTCAGACAATATGTGGTTAAAAAAATATATGGGGTATATGGGGTGGATGTTGTTTGAAAATTATTATTTGTTTTGTTAAATTCCTAAACGTATTCAAATGTGAAATCTGGTACGAATAACTCGTGTAAGAGGCGTAGCGATATACTCATTAGACACCTGGTTTCAAACGTTGACCTATCCTTGTTCATGCGCTCGATCACAGACTTGTCCAGATGTCGTGACTTATTCAGCTCTGCGATTTCTTTCTCGTAGTTCTTCTCCATTTGCTTGATCTTCAGCTGAGCGTTTCTAAATCAAGACACGTCTACATGTAAATATTTAAAATTTTCAAAGAATACCAAAATACCTCAAATCTTGCGATAGTTGCGATATCCTGCTATCATACTGCTGCTTGCTACTATCGTAATCTTTGATTTTCGACTTGAACGTTTTCATGCTAAGCTCCGCGTTTCTGAACTTCTCTACTTCGTGCTGATGCTTGCGCTTTTCCGTATCCAGCTGCTTCTCCAACTGATGTATACGCTCCGTTAGCTTACCGTTTTCCTCATCGAATAGTGCGTTCTCTGCGCTCACTCTATCCTTAGCCTGTTGCTTGGTCTTCTGCAATTCCGTCGATGTCTCCTTCAGCTGCACTTCCAATCGATGGATCTTCGTCAGCATCTCCTTACTACCACTTGCAGCGAATAACTCGCTCTGCTGGTTCAGCTTCCCCATTAGATCATCCAAGCAAGACTCCTGCTCATCTATTGATCTCTTCAAACCCCTATCTATAGTCTCGCTTTGTTCCTTCAATTTATCCAAATCGTCCAAATTTATCGACGTAAACAGCGAGCTTCGCATCTCGATGGAACTCTTGTACATTGTCGCCAAACTGTGCCACACATCCTGAATTTCTCTCTTCAAATCTTGAAGCGGTGGGGAATCTGGATTCTCTCCACCTGCCGAAATGTCCAAATTTTGCTTGTTGCCACCGCCCGTAGACGACACATACAAAGAGATATCCTCAAATTCAACGATATTTATCGGATCTAAAGCCACGATACGTCCACCCTCATCCAATTTCTTCTTGAGCTGCTGCACCGTCTGGTATAGCTCCATCAGAGGCTTCTGTTTCTCTACGACCTCCTTCCTCATCTGCTCTAAATGTTTCTTCTTCATAGTGAACAAATCAAAATTCCTTTTCATCTGGGGCTTCTCGAGAGTCGAACCCGACTTCTTCGCTATGGATCGCGGTGTCGTACTTTTCGCAACGTTCCTCGGCGTCGACGATTTTCCCACGCTCCTAGGAGTCTGCGATTTAATGGGGATACCTAACAAATTTCAAATATTTACGAATCCCTAAGATCAATTTATTAAAAAGGTATTTTTTGAACCTGAAGAACTGTTCCTGCGCGGCACTGCATTATCTGTTTTAGCAACAATTTCCGAAACAATAGGAACCTCTTTGACATCTTCAATTTTGGACTCTGGGCAATCCCGAAATTCCTCCTCGCTCTTCGTCGACTGCTCATTGATTGTCGCCTCCAATTGCAGATGTTCATCTCCACACAGCATCGGACTCTCCAACCGTTGATCTTTGATCTGAAGAATTATAAACGTTCAAAAGCAAATTGTTGTTGAATACAAACTTCCATGCAAACCTGATCTCCCATGGAGCGGGGGCTGTCCTTCATCGATTGCACGCTCGGAGGTTGCTTTAAACGAGTAAGATTCTTATTACCGGCATTAGTAGTAATGCAGTTGTCTTGGAAAGTAACTTACCGAAAGACTGCGGAATTTTGGTATAAATGATTTGGATCCAACCGAGCTAGGTGTTTGGCGGGTGCCGCATCCGACCGCTGTTGTCGGTCTTTCTGCGAAAGAAAAGATACAATAATTATATTAAAAAAATAAATCTTGTTGAATTTATTCGAGTTCTGCGTTCGAACCAATAAAACACTTGAAGCCGACATGATCATTTTCAATTGGTCCAATCGGAGCGCCACGATTACTTTCAATCATGTCACGGAGAAAATTAATATTGAACAGGAAAAAAGCAAATTCACTCTTTCCGATTTCTTGTAGACTCTAACTTACCAATTTTGTCGCCAAAACGGTTGCTCTTGGTGCGTGCAAACGACATATTCTCAAACGTCAATTAAATTGCAAAACATCAAAACCTATTTTTGTTTTTCACTGACCAATTTTTCAGTGTCCGATTTCTCGTTTCTTATTTTCACACACCTGGACGCGTCTAATTTTCGACGCTTTTTCTAATCCTTGCTTTGTGTAATTTACATGATTTTGAAAAACGAAACGGAAGAGAAAATCTTGGGCTGAGTGAAATTTTCTCTGTACGTGCACGGACCACCACTCAAACAAAAGATACGTGATGTAAATAGAAACGGATAGGACGTGTGCACACTTCGATACTTTTCGATAATAAATCTATCGCATCCGTCGAATTTGCTGAACTGGCTTAAAGATTGTTGGAAGTGCTAAAAATATTAAATTTTCACATACTGAAACAGCTAAATTATAGATTGAAAAATAAAATAACTGAATTATAAATTTTTTATTCTCAAAATATCTGGTAAAGTTAGTAATTATGCGTTTAATATATAGATCGTCATAACAGGTCTCTATCATCCCTGAAGCTATTTGATTCTATTAATTGGGCGTTATTTGTCATCAACATATATATGGGGTGCAGTTTAGATAAAATATAAAGAATAACGAAGTTAGTATTAATATCACAATAAAAAGAAGTAGTAAGGCGATAATTATACCGGCTCATAAGTAAACGTCAATCCTTCCAAACCCGACACCTCCGAAAATATCTGATGCCCTTGATGCTCATACATCTGTTGGTACTTCACAATTTCTTCTCTACGCGTGATCTCCTGCAGATCTGTGAAAGAGACCTCTTGGTTCCTCACATCTTGTGCATGTCCGGGATGATCTACCAAACTATCCGCTCTGTCATTACCCGGGATGCCCGCATGACCCGGGATCCAAGATAGCGAAACTTCGATCCCCTTTTTCTTTAAAAATCCTAGAACAGCCTTAATTTTCTAGACCAAGTAATTAACTTTGATCGAACGTTGGAAGGACTGGATAGCGACCATATCACTTCTGGAATCGGAGAAAATTACTACTTTCCCCCAACCATTAGTTTCCACTATTTTAATGGCACGGTATATCGTAAAGAGTTCGGCAGTGAATATCGAAGAAAGCTCAGATATACGACCACTTTCAGATAAACCCTCCCGATTTATAAAGATCCCATAGGATTATGGATTATGTTTGACTGAACCGTCAGTATATATATGTACATGACCAGACCATTTAGTATTTAAAAACAAACAAAAGTTCTGCACAACTTGCTGTACAGGGACATAATCACAACATTTATCCATAAAATCCACCCTGCTTTAAAAAAAATCAAGTTGGGAGTATTTATACAGCTTGTCATCGACACATAATATTAAAAGTTTCAATCAGCAATGGCTTTCCTTTACTCGGCCAGAAGAGCTTTGCACCAAACATAAAGGATACCCGGCGTACCAGCGATTAGCGCCAGGTTATCAGTTTACACTCATAATTCTAGTCTAAGTCTAGTCTAGATAAAGTACGATAATTCAAATAAATTATAACGGGAACCCAGTATACACGTCAAGTATTAAATGGTTTTATAATAATTATATAATTAGATTTTAAGAAATTGTTGATTGAATATGCTATAGTTGATTTATTACTTATTGTTTTTGATTTTAGTAATCATGAAAGTATTATGGCTATGACAACATTGGTTATATTAATTCTGTCGTGAAATATTGGTCATGCGCTCATTCCGTAGATTATATAATAAATTTATAATTATTTATATATTTAAGTTTTATCATTTCTGTTCTGTTTCTTCCACTCCGAAGGAGTGGAAGTATGCAACTTAGCTCGCACGACGGGGTTCATGTAGCCATATTAAATAATTAATAAGATTAAAGACAAAACATATATTAACTCTTCACGAACCGGGACCCGGCGATTCTTTTCACAATGTGGAAGGTCTCGGATAGGTAGGTCAAATATTATGTGAATTGTTATAAAGGTACCAGTAGCAATAAATAAATATGTCACAAAAAGTTAAGATATACAAAATATCCAACAAACCGATAAAAATAATTAAATATATAAAAATTCAAATAAACAACTTACATCACATATTCAAACAACACAACCTGATTTTTCTATAAACTTTAAAATTACTCTGTAGATATTGCCTTCTTCCATTCTTAGCAATACTTCTATTGAGGTTGGGAGATTTACATTATTTGCTATCAATTCCTTCAACAGTATACTATTATTTGGGCATTCAAAAAATATATGATTTGTAGTGGCTATCATACCGCAAACACAGTCTGGAGATTCCAAAAGATTCATACGGAACAATTGAGCAGCCGATCTGTCATGTCCAGATCGCAATCTACTCAAAGTTTTATCATTTATTTATTGGAATTTAAATCAATATTCGTTTTTCGGTGGCAATCAAATTCCCGACTGGATCAAAATCCTGACTATATCAAAAATGTCTTCAATAACATTTTTAAATTATTCCACTCCTTTTCAGACTGGAAGAAACAGAGAAGAAGAAGCAGGCGCACAAATCGCACTCGTTATTCGAAACGTCGCTCGTTAAGCGAGTCATTTTTCGTACAATTCATTTTTCTCGTTAAGCGAGGTTCCACTGTATTCTATTTTGTCGCTGTTTTGTTCTCTTGTATGACGTTCTGTTTTAACCTGTCCTGATATATCACATTCTGTTCTGGTGAGTTCTGTTTGGTCCGGTCACCAATAAATGGTAAACTTTTGATAAACACATCGTAAGAAACCAACTTCGCTGCGGTAAATATTGACAGGTTACTTTAAATTTCATGGTTTATTCTAGCCTACTAGTCATTAAGATTTATTTATTTATTACGTTAATTGATTGAGAGGTTGTACGATGCCGGCCACACTTTTCCATAGATTCGTGCTGATCATTGGATTCCTATCCCTATTCCATGCAGCCTATTCAGCAGCTCAACGTAAGTCTCATACATCATTAATATATATTATTGTTTTGATTATAACCAACAAATATATCTTGCAGATAGATCCTTCCTGAGGATCAATGAGCAGACTTTTACTCATCTACCTTTGGATGTAAGCCCATAGGATTAAACATATATGATTCACTATTATTGAGAACATTTATTTCACAGATCATATTCCAATCAGTGGGTAGTCTGTTTGCTGTTATGTACGGAGTGATGCATATTGCTGGTGACTTCAAAGAGATCAAAGCCTCTGCAGACTTAGAGAACAAGACATGGGAGACCTACAGGAATGTCCCATCCTTCTACACATTCAACCACAGAGGCAGAACATTCTCACCATTCTATATACACTCTCAGCATTCAGACGAATCTGAGTGATATTTGTAATAAAGTCATAACTACAAATTAGTACATAATATTAAATTTATTATTACATCTTGTCAAACACAATTAAAGCCTTTCTTTTATTTTAATATAATTAAAAAAAAAACATCACTTGATACACTGAAGTTAATAGTAATTTTTGAAGAATTTGGAATGCATCATTTCTGGTTCTCTATGGTTCATTTTTTTTTTTTCATTTTTATATATAGTATATAGTAATACACATATAATAACAAACACTTATTGTCTCTTAAAATACAAACATCAAAAACAATAAAGCTGGTTACAATTTGAACAACACCCAGATCAGAGCAAGAGAACTTTGGCTATAATAAATTAAATTAGAACAAAATGGATTAACCAAATGTGCAACAACTGTTTGTCTTTCTAGCAGTTTTGTAGAAACCTTTTGCATGTAGACTTAGACCCTCAGATTTCGTCACAAGATCATCCAACTTCTCGCCGCGTTCCAGCACTGCTTCAATTGTATTATGCTGTGAACAAAACATGACATAATAAGTTTTAATTAAATGGATTTCTGATTACATACCAATATAATCTTGGTCTCATCCAGATCTTCCTGTATTTTAGTTAAGGCATCAGCCTCTCTAGGATTCTGATATTTAGCTAAATAGACATTAAGCTGATTAAACTCAATATCTTTCTCCTGCAGATTGGGCCAGCTATGTGGTTGATACTTAGCTGCAAATTCATCTAAGAACTTTGTTATCAGTGTGTGGGCCACTCGAGATGGGTACTCCTGATCACAGATCACAACTCCAGCCAGACCATCTCCACGAACATATACATGACACAAGTATTCTAAAATAGAGTTGCCTATAAATAAATATATTGATCATACTAAGAATTTAATATATTACCTCCTTCCTTGACTGACTGCCTGGAAGCTGCCTGTGTCCTCTCAACTATAGTCTTTGACACAAACCCCATAAACTCCTGTATTGAACCCCTCTGGAAATAGCTGAAGCTCTGGACATCGTACGCAGATTTTAACCACACAGCACCCGCATCCGTTTTATGCAGCACACTTAAAGCGAAGATCTTGACCATCTTTTACACCGCAATTGATTTATTTTTGTACCAAAATAAATTAATTTCTCTGCTGAAAACTGTAAAAGCTGTAAACTGGTAAAAGATAGAAATAATTTGTTTAGTGAAAAGAAACGTCAAATTTAGAGTGCAGATGTTACCAACACTTCAACCTAAAAGAAACAACAAAGTTGAATTCGTTTAATACACAGATTAATCCAATCTAATTATTATCTACTCATAACTGCATTATTTAAAACTATTATTAAAGATTTAATTCACTAATATTTAAATTTTATTTATCTTTACACACTATTGGTATTTCTGGTATAAACTAACTTAGACAAACCACCATCTTCGCTTTATTTATAAGCGTGGTATCTACTGTTTTTAAATCTTTAAATTAAAATAATTATTTAGCAATTTAATAACAATGCTGAAATTTCAATAAAAGTGATTCATAATAGAAATATTATCATATTGCAGTTTTAGGTAAGTGAATATACTGCGTAGATTAAAAAGAAACTACATAGATCAAATGCAATATTTTTGTAGGTTATAAACGTGCATTTTAGATACCTTTCTAACATGTCCCAAATTGGTGTTTGCAAAATTAAGGAGCAGTAAGTGCTAATTACTCTAATATTTGATTTCCTGTAGTAATATGCTCATTTTTCAAATAGGTTTGTGGTGACAGACCATGAGAGGACTTTGGATTTGAATCATGTCTCAGCTAAAGATATTGAGAAGATTACAGGTGTTGAGTGTGATGAGCCTGATGCCAAGAAACCTAAACTGGAAGAGGGTAAGAAGTTGAAGGGACAAAACAAGGCACGCAAGAATTTTGCACAATACAATCCCAGTGAAGCGCTGTGCTCGAAAATCACGCGAATCACAGAAGATGAAGAGTTCCCAGAAACATGTCAATTTGAAAAGTGCAAATTCTTGCATAAAGTTGAAGATTATTTGAAAACTAAACCAAATGATATTGGTAAATACAGTGACTCTGTAATATCTGCACAATATTAATGATTGTTGTATTTAGGTGATGATTGCTACAACTTTGAGACATTTGGACAATGCAATTTTGGTATAACTTGCAGGTTTGCCAAAAAGCATGTAACAGTTGAAGGAAAGAATAAAATTGATAGGGGAAAAATGGAAGCAGTTAAAAAAGATGAGCAGGTGCTGAATGTGTTGCATAGTGAGAAGAGGTTTAGTCTGCAGAGGAAAAAGTATGATTTCCATTTGGCAGATAAGATGATTAAACATGTAGATGGACTGAGGAAAGAGGAGAAGGAAAAGGTGATTATTTTTTATAAACTTATTTAGCATGCTATTTTTACACAAAATAGCATGCTAAAATTTATTTATTTTTTTAATTACTGCAATGGTTCCTAAACTTTTTTAGAAAGTTGATGAGAAAAGTGTGCAGACATCAGGAGCTGTAACTGATGAGGATATTGTGAAGCTGCTAAAAAGAGAAAAAAAGAAGATCGATTTCAAAGACAAACTATTCCTGTCCCCTTTGACAACAGTGGGAAATTTGCCGTTTAGAAGAATCTGCAAGGAGTATGGTGCGGATATTACGTGCGGAGAGATGGCGATGTGCTCGAAACTGTTGCAAGGCACAACACACGAATGGGCTCTCGTGAAGAGGCACCACACCGAAGATGTCTTTGGGGTTCAGCTGTGCGGCAACAATCCGCACATCTTCGCCAAATGCGCTCAATTGTTAGATACTGAGATCAATGTCGATTTCATTGACATCAATCTCGGATGTCCAATTGATATGGTTTATCGCGAAGGATCGGGTTCCGGATTGATGAGGCGGCAGAATGTTCTGGAGACCTGCATTCGTAGCATGACGAATCTGATGTCCATACCTTTAACTGTGAAAACACGTACCGGTATTTACAATAACACCAATATCGCGCACACCTTGGTATTTATATTTTAAATTGTTTAAAAAACATATATCATTCTTAATTTATGTATATAGATACCAAAATTGAGAGATTGGGGCGCGAGTTTGGTAACAGTACACGGCAGGTCGAGGGAGCAAAGATACACGAGAAGTTCCGATTGGGAGTACATCAGGGAATGCGCACAGGTCGCATCTCCCCTACCAATAATTGGTAACGGTGACATCTTGAGCTACGAAGACTACGCGAGAGCACGGGAATCGTGTCCGGAACTGTACGGTGTGATGATTGGAAGAGGAGCACTAATCAAACCTTGGATCTTTACCGAGATCAAGGAACAAAAGCTGTACGATATCTCCAGCTCGGAACGGTTCGACATCCTGAAAAAGTTTACCAACTACGGCTTGGAGAACTGGGGATCCGACAATAAGGGCGTGGAGAACACGCGCAGATTCCTGTTGGAATGGCTCTCGTTCCTCTACAGATATATACCAATCGGTCTGTTGGAGTCGCCTCCGCAGAAGATTAATGAGCGACCTCCGTACTACAAAGGACGAAACGATCTGGAGACGTTGATGGCTTCTCCTTCAGCATCAGATTGGATTAAGATCAGCGAGATGCTTCTTGGTCCTGTCCCCGATACATTCACTTTTCTACCCAAACATAAAGCAAATGCTTATCGCTGAAACAATTTTATAATAAATACAATAAAAATATCCTTGTTATGTACATTGCTTCTGCTATTTTAATGGGATTATATGCATAACAATAATAGATTTCACGACAGAATTACCGTAAATTGTAAAGAGTATAGTCTGGTAGCACCGTAGCAATCGACTCGTAATCTATGGCTATGGTGCTACAGAAAATTGAAAAGCTTTACCAATTTTTTCAGACTAATAAATAGCACCCACTTTTTATTTAGTAGTGAATTCAAACATATTACATAGCTAAGATCTTTCTGAAAATAAACAAAAAGCAGCTAATATTTATTTTTTTTTGAACATTGGCATCAATGAAAATTAAACGTCAAAGTAATAGGTGAAGTTGGTTGTAGCAGTCGTAGCAGTGAGAAAGAAGTTTATAGTCATAAATTGATTAATTATAATCAAATAATTTTGATAGGTAAAATGAGTAGCAACAAGAACATGAGTCGCCGCATGAAATGGAGCTTGGAGTCATCAAAGTTTGTATTGACAAATCCAATTTTACATTGACCATCTGACATTGTATTTGTTTATTCAGGAGCAATCGGGTAGCTATCAGTGGTGGAGACTTGGCCTGTCCCCCAGCCTACAGCACATCCAGCTCAATTTCAAACAGCGAAGTGACCAAAAAAACTGACACCAGTCACCTGATCAAGAAGAAGTCATGGGAATTAGCTCTGGCCCCACTGAAGCAAGTCCCAATGAACCTATTCATCATGTACATGGCTGGAAATTCCATATCAATATTCCCCATAATGATGGTTGGAATGTTGTGCATGAGGCCCATTCAGGCTCTCTTCTCCATCAATAGCACCTTCAAATTAGTTGAAGATTCCAGTGCTGCTGCCCAAAAACTAGTCTATCTTCTGGGAAATTTTATCAACATTGGTCTAGCACTGTACAAGTGTCAGAGCATGGGTCTTTTACCAACACATTCCAGTGATTGGCTCGCTTTCGTTGAGCCACAAACGCGTCAAGAGTATCTAGGAGGTGGTATAATGCTATCATAGAAATTTGAGATTATGGAATTTATTTAATAATAAAATAGTAATTTACATATGGAATATTCATTCCTTTTTATGCTTGTCAGCAAAATCCTTTATCTTTTCAAATAGAGCTGCAGGGTCGTCGACTCTGGGAACCTAAAATAAACGAATGCTTTAAACAAAAGCGATTTGCAGCTTACTATGGATCAAACTTACATCATAGTTTTGACTCAAATAAAGTCCTGCATAGATGCCAATCAAGAAACTGAACTGTGAACGAGAGGAAAGTATAAGTTTAATTATAACTATGTACGGCCTCGATGGATTCTTTACCATTCCGCGGAACATTTTTGCCAATTTTTGCTCTCTCAATTGAATATCCAATTAAATATATTTTTTACTATATTTCAATAATGGCAATGCTGATTGTCAATGTCAGTGGTGTTGCCAACAGAGCAATAATTAATATATACCACAGAGGTTCCCAAACATTTTTAGACATTAAAAAAAAATAACAAATGATATTAAATATTTAGGCTTTAATATGAGTATAATCAAATTTGTAGTCGTTGTCAAATGACTGTAAAATGTTGTTAAAGTTGTAAAAAAAATACTGGTAAAAGCTTCAAATTTTATCATATAAATCAAAAACTAGCAAAGTAATATAGTATATATATTATAATTTAAAATAAAGATAAAGCTAAACGTCTATGTAAAGTAAAGTAACACATAACACATTTCAAAAAGTTTGAGTGTCGCGGAGAACTTATCTATTAAAAGTGCAAAGCTGCAAAGTTTATGTTGAACAACATAAACTAAGGCCTGTTTTGCTTTCGGTTGTATTACTTATTTATGAACTTGCTGTTGAAAATCATTCAAATCAGGAATAGAGTTTTCTTTTTACTCTCTTCGTATGTTGCGGTTGCGGCAGTGTAATTTTTGACATTGACAGGTATGTTTATAAAATTTTCGTTCCCTTGTTACAAAATAGGAAAATTCGTATTTTGCTATCAATATTATAATTGTTTGTATGATAATGATTGATGTGAACGTTAGCAGTAGTTAATTGTTATTAGTTGTGGTTAATTATTGTACAACGTAAAGACCTCCACACTGTGTTTCTATATCTTTTGGGTAGTCTTCATTGGAGGTTAAGTCATGGCAACAACTAGGACGCTAATAATCCCCCCGATTTATTCGCGGCTGCTATCAAAATTCCCTCAGAACTTCTCTTTTTGCTTTGCCTATGGTTCTGGGGTGAAGAAGCAGCTTACCAATGTTAAACAGTCCAACATGATTGATATGGTTTACTGTGTGGATAATCCAAAGAAGTGGCACGAGGGTAATATGAAAGGGAACTCTTCACATTACAGTGGATTGAAGTATTTAGGGCCAAAGTTCATTGCCAGTTTCCAGGAGAATTCTGGAGCTAGAGTTTACTTTAACACTTTGGTACCAATGGAAGGGGTTGTTATTAAGTATGGTGTAATATCTTCTAAAGATCTGATTACAGATCTATTGGAGTGGTCTGATCTATACATTGCTGGTAGGCTGCATAAACCAGTAGAGATTATCAAGAAAACAACAAGCTCTGAATTGCAGACTGCTCTGCAACTTAACTTACAGTCTGCTGTGCATGCAGCTCTCCTAATATTACCAGAAACATTCTCTGAATATGAGTTTTACCATACCATTTGTAATTTGAGTTATGCAGGAGATTTCCGCATGACCTTTGGGGAGAACAAGAATAAGGTGGAACATATTGTGAAGCCTCAAATTGATGGTTTCAGGAATCTTTACAGACCTTTCTTAAAGAGTTTAACTGATTACGTTGATTTTCCTGTCTTGACAGAGGGCGGCGGTTTGTGTTCTCAGGACACTTGTCCACTGGCAAAGTTGCACCATTTAAACCAGTTGCCAAGGTGGCCGCAGAAAGCTTTGACCCGGTTTTGGAATCGAGGGAATTTTAAGCAGGATACTGAAGATGTTCTCAGAGGGATTGCATATGACCCAGATTGCAGTGCTGTGGTTGAGCAGTGCATCAATGAGATTGTGTGGAAGTCTTCAATCAGGCAAAGCTTAAAGGGTTTACTGACAGCTGGCATATTCAAAAGTGTGAAATATAGTGGACAGAAGATTGTTAAAATGTTGAAATAATTGTTAGTGTAGTTGTAGGATAAATAAATAAATAAATACTTGTTTACAATTGTTATAGTTCGTTTTCATTTTCTTTACAGGATGCATCAGTTTTCTGATTCCGAGTCGTCGGATTCTGAAGACGGTATTCGCTTCAAAACTGATAGCACAAGGAACAAGCAGACCAATCGGAGCCGCCGTCGCGATAATAAATACGAGGAGGCGGAATCTTCGAAGAGGCGACATCGCGAAACTGATAACAACAGAGATTTGTCGCGTTCGTATAAGAGAAGCAGTCGCAGAAGTCCGGACGGTGGCACCAGAAGGAGTCGTCGACGGAGGTCACGCGATACCCGTCGTCACCATAGGCGAAGATCGCGCTCAAGGAGCTCCAAGAGGGAGGAGCCTAAAATCAAACACTGTGATGCGATCTCTTCGTCCGACGATGAGGATATACTGAATCGGAGAGAAGAGGAGATCTTAAGTAGAAAGGTGGACGAAGAGGAGAAAGAGCAGGAGCAGCCGGAGAAAGAGAAGGTTTCGAATGAACTTGAAGTAGAGGAGTTTGAAGTGAGTAATACGGACATCGAGTATAACAAAGATGTTGATAGCGAAGAAGGGAAAACGTTTATTGGAGATGCGGAGGAAGGAATTTGTGGACCGGCTCTGCCGCCCTCGATGTGCGGTCCGCTGCTTCCGCCACATTTGAGAGTCAATAAAATCACCGAGGATACACCAAAATGCATAGGTCCAACTTTGCCACCGCATTTGCGAAAGAAACTCGAAGAGGACACAGTAAACGAAACACCAATTACTGAAATTGAGGGAAAACTAGAGCATGAAGAAGGTGAATTGGAAGCTGATGTTGCCATTACAGGCGACAAAAACGATGAGGATGATGACGACGATGATGGATGTTATGGTCCACTGCCACCCGATCTTACGTCCAATTCGCTTGCCCATCGGGCACTCGAAGAAAGAGCTCTTCAAATGAAGCTGGATCAGTTGAATGGTGGCCAGGAGGAAGTGAACGGTAGGGAGGAGTGGATGATAGAATTGCCTAGCGCAGTGGCCAAATACGGTTTGGGTCCTAGACAATTCAAAGCCAGAGCCGGACCCGATCTCACTGACCGTTCCTCCTGGACGGATACACCACAAAACAAGCGCTCGGATATGAAGGACGGAGCGGCAGTAAACGATGACCTCAAGCAGGAAGCGGAATTGGCGCAAGTACGAAAACGCGATCAGGAACAGGAGGACATGATACGAAAACACAAGAAGCAAAAAAAGAAGGAAAAGGAGAAGAGTTTATTGGAGCAGCACCAGGACAAAATCAAAAAAAGGAAAAAGGTATGCAATAAAGAAACATTCCTGTCTGTCTTTTGTATTTATAATGAATTTGCAGAAAGAACGGGAGGATGGTAGTGCCAATGTGCGGAGGCCTTTTAATAGGGACATCGATTTAAAAGTGAACCACTTTGACGAGGCTCAGAAGAAGGCTATCATGAAAAAAGCCCAATTGCTGGATGACAGATTTTCCAAAGGACAGTCCAAATTTTTATAACAAATTGTGATTTTTAAAACAATAAAGTAATTTAGCCTTTTATTATTAAACAGACCAATCAATAATATTAGTATTATGTAGAAAACGAATCTGAAAATGTCTCCTCATTATGTAATCTATTTTATTTGCAGTAGTGATTCAGAGTGAGTCTGGCCGTGATGTTCATGGCTTGGAGCTCGGTGAGCAGAAGCTTGCATGCGTATGGCATTGTGATTGTCGATACTTGTCCAGAGCTTTTGCAACTGTTGCACCACCCGCAGTAGCCCAACCTCCCGCACTGGTTGCACACGTCCACCTCGCAGATATCACTGGACACCATCAAACGTTCGACCAGCATCATACTAGCTCCGTATCCTATTAGACAATCCCGTTCCATTTCGCCTAAACGCAGGCCGCCGTCCTTGCTTCGACCTTCCGTCGGTTGTCTGGTCAGAACGGCCCTGGGTCCTCTAGCTCTGGCGTGCATTTTGTCTTGTACCATGTGCTTCAATTTCTGGTAGTAAACTGGTCCTGAATAAATGTAAGCTTCCAGTGGTTCACCAGTTATGCCTGAGGTGAAGAAGTCCTTCCCTTGGTAATTGAACCCGTGTTTGGAGAGTTCTTCGCTAACGTCTGCGACCTTAGATCCACCGAATGCAGTTCCGTAATGGAACTTACCTTCCAGCAATCCCGCCTTTCCTGACAGCAGCTCGATAAGTTTACCGACCGTCATACGGGATGGATATCCGTGCGGGTTCATGATTATATCCGGACAAATGCCATACTCGTTGAACGGCATGTCCTCTTGCTCGACAACCAAACCAACGACACCTTTCTGTCCATGTCTGGAACTGAACTTATCACCGATCTCCGGTCGCCTCGTCTGTCTCAACAGTATCTTGATCAGTCCAGATTCCTCCTCGTTAGTCGATACCATCACTTTCTCCACGTAACTTGATTCGGGATTCTTGTAGACTATGGGCGCATCGCGAAATTCTATGCTGCTGGTGGCTCCTCCCGGCGCCGCTCCGGGAACAGCAGAAATTACGGGAATCGAACGATTCACAATCGTCTGTTTGTTAAGGACCTGTTCTCCCGGCCCTACGATACCGTCGGCGTCCAGCACTCCATGCTTCCATATAGGTTTGCTGTTTTGGGTGTCTATGAGGGGACCTTGGATTCTGTCGAACGTTTGATTCGCGTATCGCTTTAACAGACACTTTGACGTTTTGTAGACGAGGCAACGGCCGAAACCGCGATCTAACGAAGCCTTGTTTATGATGAGAGCGTCCTCAATATCATAACCGCTATAGCTCATCACCGCGATCGTTGCATTCTGACCAGCGGGAAGCTTATCGAAATTTGTTAGCTCTATTGTTTTGGTCTTCACCATCGGCGCTTGAGGATACACAAGATTGTACATAAGGGTGTCCATGCGATTCTTCTGATTGTAACCGATAGTTCCTGAAAAGGACGAACTGTTGTATTATCAGATCGGAATTAATAAGTAAGTAATGCAAAAACGTACCCATTGCCTGTTTACCCATGGCACATTGGTATGTATTTCTTGGAGATTGATTGTGATGTGGATATGGAACGAGCCCGGCACATACACCCAACAAAGTGAATGTGGATATTTCCAAATGTGTCGTCTCTCGCGTGATGTCGCGCTCGTAGCATGCTATATAGCTGTCGTTCTCCTCATTCACGTCCAGGAATTCGATCAATCCATCGTGCAGGAAATCCTCAAAACTCCTGATACCCTTCTCCAACTCGACAATGTGCTCCTTTGACACAGATGGAATTCCATTGATGACTATTATATATGGTCTGCAGAGGCGACCTCCGTCCGAACTTATATACACACACCTATGAAGATGGTTCGGGTATATCGAGCAATACCCCGAGATGTAACCACTCCTCCTCATCAATCTGAACATGCTGATTAATCTACGATAGTGCCTAATTGCACCTATTATGTTGCCATTGAGGAACACCAAATATACACCGTCCGAATTTATGAACTCTCCGCCGACCGTGTTGATCTCCAGCACGCCCGTGTTATTCGCCAGACGGACCAACGGGTTTTCATCTCCTTCGGTTGTGATGTGCGTCATAAGGGCTAAATTTTTGACAAGACCGCATGCCTCGCCTTCGGGTGTGTCGCTCGGACACAGCATTCCCCATTGACTGGGCTGCAGTGATCTCGGTCCCGAAACCTTTCTAGTCTTCTCGAATTGCGAGTTAACACGCGTCATCATCCCCAATGCGGAAATGTAACTTAACCGAGACAGCACCTGCGTCACGCCGTGTCTCTCCATTCTGAACCTCTTGATTGTCCAGTTTCCCTGCAAACAATTAAAAATACATCAGTTCATATACATTCACGCACGTACTCTGATATTACCGTTGCAATGGCAAACACCAGGCAGTTGGTGATGAGATCGGATTTCATGTACTTGACGACGTCGAATTGCGTGGCTCGAATCTTCGGAATCGTCTTTTCGGCGATAGTCTTCAAGTCGAAATTAAATCTCTTGAACACATCCTCGAACATCAGCGACAACAGAGACCCGGCCAATTCCAAACGCTTGTTACCGTAGTAATCCTTGTCGTCCAAAAACTTGCTATCCGATTGCGCCTCGATAACTCTCTTCAACTACAATAAATATATATATTATATTTACATACACACACTCATTAAATGCATTTGGCTAGCTAAATGAGCCTAAGCTCACATATATGTCACCCCCTTATAACAACTACCACTGTAACTGTATTAGCAATATAATAAAGCATTTTTGAAATTGAAATTTTAAATGCATTTCTAATACATACCATCAATGCCAAGTATACGGCTTTCATCTTATAGTTGTACTCAACAACGGGAACGTGAGATAAAATAGTTGATGTCAAAGCCTCACGGGCCTCCTCTAAAGGTGTCTTCACTTTTGTTGTAACAAATCGTTTCGGTACTAGCTTAGTACCGAGATACTTGAGAGCCGCCTCTTGAGTGTAAATTTTTAATGTGTGACACTCCTCCAAAGTGGGCGTTATTTTCCGCAAATCTTTGATACCAACCATCGTGCTGATCTCTTGGTCGCTGATTACGCCCATAGCTTTGAAAACAATAGATATGGGAATGGGCTGAAAGGAATAATGCAAGAATTAATGCATCTCTTCATAGACGTATTAGAATCTAGCTCACATCGATAAAACTGTTATGTCCCAGGTAATATTTGTTTGCTTTAACGAACACGATCGTCCTGGTTTTCTTTTCGTGCGTCGAACTGGTAACCTGACATTGAACTCCATACTTGCCCTCTTCCAAAATCAATCTGTTCCTGGAAAGCTGCTCTTGAATCAAGATCACCTTCTCTTGTCCCTTCACCACAAAATATCCCCCAGGATCTAAAGGACACTCATTCATCTTGGCCAACTCATACTCTGATTTGTTTGTGAGCACACAATTGGATGATCTCAACATAATTGGCATGCTGCAGAATAAGAGAATTGAATTATTTATAATATTAAGAATTTTGTATATGTATACCGTCCAATAAGTAATCCTGTCCTAGAAACACGTTGACTTCCTCTCATGTACTCTATATCCACTGTAATTGGAGCAGAGTAGGTCATGTCTCTTAGCCTACATTCATGTGGTGTGGTCGGTTTGCTGATATTGAAACCCTCATCAACATCAGGTGATCCAACATATACATTGGTATACTTAATATAAAATAAGGGGTCTGCATCGCACACCACTTTGTCATTGGCCTCAACAATCTTTTTTATTTCAACATTAATGAAATAATTAAATGAATCTATGTGCTGCTTCACAAGACCCTTGATTTTCAGGAAAGCTGGAACAAGTTTCCATTTCTCCTACAAACATAATAGATTAGTGTTGTTCCTTTTAATTATTACTAATAATGATAAATTTACTTCAATTTCCTTTATGGGTTTCGTAAAATCCGACGAATTACCAAAATGTGTCTCCACGAATTGCTGGTCCATACCAGAGTATTCCCCCATTCTTAAATTACAAGATCAAAACATTTGAATGAAAAAAAACAACACCAAACAACAACCACACTACACACAGCAACCAAATAAAACCAAATTGCTTTAGAGGTTATAGTATATATATATATATATCCATATATGCATATGTCGCGAATATCCTCATGTTGACATATTTAGATCTACTTGTTGCCGATGGTTGCCGAAGAAGTAGTTCAATTCTTTAATTTGGAAAGAAGGTTGGCATTACTTTCAAAATAAAATGCCTGAAATTGTTACACTATTATTTCTATTTTTGTGTATCAAACTATAAACCTCTGAAAGCTAAAGCCTATTGCGGTCTCCGCTAATATGTAAGCTATGTAATATTTATAATATTAATAAAGTTTATTAAATTCTACCTGAAATTGTTTATTGGTATGGTATGCAACCTTTTCTCGTCACAACAAAGTTCTTTCTAGAAATACGCAAAATATATAGATATTTATTTGATACAAAAATTTCACAATAAATATTATACAGTGGAACCTCGTTTAACGAGCATAATCCGTTCCAAAATTTCCGAATGTTTTCTCGTGTATAATTAAACAATTTTTACCATCCAAACTAATGTAATATACGATAATGCGTTCCATGCCGGAAAAAAAGTATAACTTGGACTCGCTTTGTAATGATTTTGCTTTTCATGTCTATGGTTATTTTTATTCTTTGGCTTATTATTCGGAGACATATAAGTGTTATTAGATTTTGCACAAAAAAAAAATCACAAAGAACATGTCCGAACACAAGTTTGGAAATATGTGAAATCACAAATAACTAAGACGCAACTAGATTGACTAATAACACCAGGACTGTTTTACCAATCACATGCGTTGAAGTGAATTTACGCCTGACTCCATTTGTTTATATTATTTGTATTGATCCGGGGTCTTGGTCTCTTTATACTTTTAATATTTTTTTTTTATAAAAAAGCATTCACAGTTTGTTTATATATTATAATAACGGTTGGACACAATACATTTTTGTTTTCTTTTACAGCAAACACAAATTATATTGGAACCTTGCTTAACGAGTTTAATCCGTTCCAAAATTTCCGGATTACCGAAGTTCTTGGTCAGTTTTCTCACATGAATATGTCGAAAATGGAAGTAGTGTTAGGATGGTGTTGTCGGAAATGTGATGATATTCTTTCTTAACGGAAATCCAGAAAAATGTAATGAAACTTCGGCAAAGTGAGTTTTAACGTCCCATCATTACTTAATTTCTATAAATTCCTCTTGAATTGAACCTTTGAAAAATAATTTAGTTAGAATATTGTCTTATTTGATTCTATTCAAGGACTGCGGTAAGGTATTTGAGGACAGAATTATGCTCGCCAAAAAATTAACAAATACTTCAAAAGAAATTAAAAATTATGTTCTCAAATACATTACGCATCTTGTACTGATATAGCTTATATAAAAATTAGATTTATTCATTAATATTTTTATTAATTTGATCTATTTCTATGCGTTTTAATGACCGTTCTCTTTGAAATTGTAATATAAAAATTGGCTTGTGGCTTCTATATGAGTTGTTTAAACTATTCACGCTATTAAGATCAATGTTGATCGTCGTATCACGTTCATTTCAAAATTTAGAAAAAATTTAGAATGAATGAATAAATAATTCAAAAACGATATTTAAATTAAACGTATATTTGTTTACAAAATAAGTTACAAAGTCAGTCGTGTTAGGAATAAAAAAAAAAGAGATAGATGAAGGTTCTAAGAAGATGATTTTCAGAGCGTCATGGACGTTGCACTTTTTCTTTTCCTTTTGTTCACACTCTCAATTCTGGATTGGTGTAACGCACGTACTTGATGAGATCCTCGTTTTCTTCACAGACGAAGGGCTTGCGATGATGGCAGGCTACATCGTGCCAGTTGACTCCATCGTTGTAGAACTGGTTGAGGACGGCCAGACAATTCTCGGTAGCGCCACCTTGTTGCGCTTCCCTGTTATCAGGTTGCGATTTACCGATACCACCGTTCTCAGACCAATCATTTTGATTACGAGCGGTTGTAGGTGCTAATTTCTGCAGAACCGCGGTCCAGAACCATCCGTTCACGGACAGAGGTTGTAGATCGGCGCGATCGCAGCCCTTGAAGTCGCACAGACGACCAGAAGTCCAGATGTATTTGACCTAATTAAATTTATGTGTCAAAGATGCAAAAAATAAATAAAATAAAATTTTGAAATAAATTACCTTATCCTGCACAAGCCTCTGCTTGATCCATTCGTTTTCGGCGCTCGTCTCTAACGAAACCAGATCCATACACCTCTGTCTGCAATAATTTCTACCACCCAACCAGTTCTCCTCAACACCCTTCAAAGTTGGTTCCCTCCAGCTGAACATGTATCCTTTACCTACAAATATTAGTTTTAGTCTGTATTCATTTATATAGAATTACATTTATGTTCACGATTTTTTTCTATTAGAAAATTATAATTTGTAAAAATAAAAATAAATTGAGCTTACCATCGGGTGTACGTTCGTGGATGACTCTTTGCGCACAAAGGGACGGTACAGGTGGTTCAAGAACGCGACCACTCGGAAATTGGGCGCTCACGATGCCCACGAAGACAAAAAATGCTACTAGTGTCGTTTCTGCTTTCATTTTGAAAGTTGATCGAAGTATGACCGCTAAAGACCAATATCGTCCACTACTTATAGTACAGGTAAAACATGAGGTGGGGAGTTGAAAATGTGGTGGTAGTTACTGGTAAACGCCTATTGAAGAGGCACATTTTTCAGGTATTTTCCATCTACCATTCCCCCACCGAGAAACCATCATTATCGAATGATTGCATAGTCATTAAATTAAGTACGTGCAAAAAAAAACAATCAATATCAAATAACCATTTAAAGATTTGATGTTGCTTCAAACATATATGTAATATGGTAATAATAACTTTAAATCAAATTGAAAACAGAATAAATAAATATTATATCAGGAATATTGGCGATTCACACTGAATTACATAAAAATGACAACATGTGAATGTAGTAAATTTAGAATTATTAACAGAATGTCGATAAAGTTTTTATTATCATTATTATGGCCTGTATTTATAACCAAATGATGCACTACATCAGCCCTCTATCAATTAAGTTATACACTTTGTCAATAATACAAAATGATAATTACTTAGAGCAGGGTTTCCCAAAATTTTCCTGCTACAGAACACTTCGCAAATCCTGAAATTTTCGCGTAACACCTTGTTTATTTTGTAGGATATTATTTACTTAGTAATGATTACATTCCAGGTTTTCACGGAACACCTATTAACTACCTTCCACTGAAAACCAGTGTTCCGTAGAACATAATTTGGGAAACTGGCTTCGAGAGTTGAGAAGCTACTCAAGCATGAAGAGCGATCTTTTGAAATTCAAAGTGCAAATGATTTTCAGCGTTCCTAGAGAAAGCTTTCATTCAAAATCGAAAGTATATAATTTCGTTTTGGGTAATAATTATTGAAACACATTACGGATTATTTTTAATATATATTTTTTTTATTTATTTATATATTTATTTTGTACAACTCGTAAAAGAATGAAAGAATAAATTATAATGTCAGTCGGTTAGGAAACGAGAAGAAGAGAGAGAGAGAGGAGAGAGTGGACATGGTTTGTCTTTACACTCGCAACTCTGGATTGGTGTAGCGCACGTACTTGAGGAGATCCTCGTTCTCCTCGCAGACGAAGGGCTTGCGGTGATGGCAGGCTACGTCGTGCCAGTTGACTCCATCGTTGTAGAACTGATTGAGGACGGCCAGACAATTCTCGGTAGCGCCCCCTTGCTGTGCTTCCCTGTTATCAGGTTGAGGTTTACCGATACCGCCCTTCTCGGACCAATCGTTTTGGTGGCGAGCGGTTGTCGGTGCCAATTTCTGCAGAACTGCCGTCCAGAACCATCCGTTGACGGAGAGGGGTTGAAGATCGGCGCGATCGCAGCCCTTGAAGTCACACAGACGACCCGAAGTCCAGATGTATTTGACCTAATGGAAACGTACAAATTATTATCTATTTTAATTGAATGTGGGTAAATGGAATTCGTTTCATGTTATTTTATAATTGAGTACGTGAACGGGTTTTTTGAAATTGCTCGAGTGGCGCAAGATGTTTGATTATTTCGTTTGCGAAAAATGTTGCGTATTCTTTTGTCCGATAATGCAATGTAATTTATGTTTTACTTTTCACTTGATGAGTGATTGAGGAATTGTCAATTATTTCGTACCTTCTCTTGAACTAGCCTCTGCTTGATCCATTCGTTCTCGGCGCTCGTCTCCAGCGAAATTAGATCCATGCACCTCTGTCTGCAGTAATTTCTACCACCCAACCAATCCTCCTCAACACCTTTCAGGCTCGGTTCCCTCCAGCTGAACATGTATCCTTTACCTATACGGAGAAAGAAATTGAAATATGAAAAAATTAAATACACAACTCTAAATATCAAATTAATTGCAGATTTACAATTTGATTGAAATACATTTAATTAAGATATAATGCTTACCATCGGGGAACCGTTCGTGGATGACCCTTTGGGCGCACAGAGCCGGCACCGGGGGTTCCAGGATGCGGCCACCGGGGAATTGGGCGCTGACGATGCCCACCAAGAGGACGGCGAAGGCGAGAGTAGTTGCTGCTTTCATGGCGACAGTTCGTTCAAGTCTGACTCCTGAAGAATATTTTCAGGTGCATTTATAGTGCCTGGTGGGGTGGAGGGAAGCGCCGGTGCAAAAGTAGTAGTAGTAGCCGAGTCATAAAGTTGAAAAGGTGTATTCTTCAGGTAATTACTCCTCTACCCCACTGCACCACGCAAAATCGTACGTCCGAGCGTTTCGAATGACCTTGAACTCGCACTGCATTTCTACGGACGATGAAGAAAACAACGAAATATATATCCACCCACGACCTACTTGTGCAGTTCCTCCTTTTTATTGTAACTCTCTTCGACACGAGATTCCGTAACGCTTCTGTTTTTTTTGTTTATTTATTTTCTTCGGCTTTTACTTTTGTCTTGCTCTTTTAACAATACCAGCCACTCCGATGAAGATGATGATGACGCCGATAGTAGTGATATGTCGTTCTTCTGCGTAGGCGCTTTCTCTCATAGAATTTCGTCCGTACAATTGTAAACAAATCCACTTTCTTTGACCTTGTCTCCTCGGGTGGATCTTCGTCGCAGTCGCCGGATCCCATTCAAGAAGATCCACTCTGCTTTGTTCCCATGAATATCCACAATCTTGTTCTTATTATAAAAACAACGGTGCAATTTCCCATCAACTGCAATTATTTTACAAAAAAAAACAAATAGTTAGAATCAAATAAATACAAAACTATTTTCTTTTCTTTGAAAATTTCTATTTTATTGTCTACTTTTCTTTTTTTCTATCAGTTTTGGGGAAACCCGTACCGTAAATATGCAGGTACCAAAAATGCGTAGATAACTAATTTTCGCAATAATAATTATTGAATATTTAAACAAAATATTAAAAAATGCTGCAAATTGTTACGTTTATAGCAAACTAGAATATTTAAGCTATTCTATATTTTGTGTCAAATCTGTTTGACATCTGCTTTATTATACGTCCCAAATTTCTCTCGTTACGTTTTCAACAAATGTTCAATAGAACGTGATCGCCGAGACTAACTAACTCATTCAACCAGATAGGTGATATTTATATTGACGACGGATGTCTAAACATCAAGAAATTCAAATCATCTCGATATTATAACACCATGGAAACTGCGTTCATCAATATGTATGATATTTAAATGCGACTTTTGAAGCCTTCGGTGTAACCTAATTTCTTTGACGTATGTTACGTCAATTCGGACGATAACTTTAACGCGTCAAATATAAATGCTGGTAAAAAGTTGAATATGATAAAATTAAATAAAATGTTAATATATCAAGCAATGGAACGCTCCAAAAAGCAGTGTTTCCACATTCTAGTGATTTTCTCAAAAACTATAATAGATAGAGTTGATCCAAAAGATGAATATGAAAGCTGGATAGTTGGGAAATGTAGCATGCATTTAGTTATTGATGTGGATTCAAAAGATACATAAGAAAGTTGGATATTTGGGGTATGTAGCAAGTATTCAAATATTGCTGTGGTGTATTGTTCGTTCAAAAATGAAAAATTAACGCAAAAAAAAACAATGTCTCCAAATTTTACTGATTTTCTCAGAAAATATAATAGATATAAATATTGTTGTGGTGAATTCGTATTTAATTATTTCTGTGATTTCATATATTTGGCTGTAATTCGCATTCAAATATATAGAAAAGTGAACTTAATTGATACTAAAACTAATACAAGATTATAGCTGATTGTTAAATCGGAATACGTTGGTATTTCGGTCTGACAACGATGAGTCATCAATAATTTTAGCATTGCACTCGTGCGAAGGCGAATCGAGAGTCAGGGTTCTCTCCATATATTTTTTTCTAAAGAAAATAAAAAATAAATGTGTGTATGTCAAAGCCAAACATTGTTAAACGGGGCTCGTCCGGCTAGAAAGTCGCGAAATTTCATAATCCGAAAATCGAACTCTCCTCGGTCACGTTTTTCTTTCTCTCCCTCCGTATATTCCTTTTCTTTTCGGTAAATAAATGTTCGAAGCAGGCGAAAGTCCGCACCCATTTAAAGGCGATTAAAAGGCGCTTAGATTCTTAACGCTGCACATGCACTTTTCTCTTTCAATTGTCGACGACTGTCCGGTTTTTTCCTTCCTTCCGAAGAATCTCCGAAAGGAAAATTTTCCTCGAAACAACAACAAAAAGTATATAAATACTAAAATAATGGCGCTTTCTACATAACGATCCGACCTTCAAATGGAATTGGAAAACAGAACCAATCGAAAATTACGAAAAGGGAAGAAAAAAACCCAGGCGAAGCCACGCATTAATTTCGTTATGCTAATCGCAGATGCAACGTGCTACGACATTGACATGTCGAAGGTTGCATAATTTAAAATATTATTCAATTGTTTTTGTTATAATTTCGGCTGATCCGCATTTGGTTGCGACCGTATTAGGATGCGTAGTACAGCACACTGTTCGATCGAACGAACAGTGTACGTAATAAAATAAAGTAATAAATAATTGTATTTGATTTCGATTTCTTCTCAGCATTCGTTTTCGATTTATGGGTAAAAGTTAGAAAAATTTCTATTCAGCCATATTTGCAACGAACGAAGGAAACTTCTTGCCCGCTCGCTCGGTCCTCTCTCGACGCGAGCGCCGTGACGACATTTCTTCTGTATTTCCATTTTCAAATTATCGCCGACGATTATTCGATTGTTCTCGATTCGAAAGTGGCTCGATTATTTCATGCTCCCCGCATTATTGATTGTGACAACTATGGGTCGACATCGAAATTCCATGGGCGTTCGCATCTTCACGCACAAATTATTATTGTAGAATACAACGGAATGCGCTGTAACTAACCGCGACTTTACGTCACTTATGACAACAATGATTAGTAAAATAAGTAAAAGTAAAACTTGAGCTGCTACCTTAAAATTAATATTAAATATTTCTAATACGTCCAATCATGATATCTGTTTACTGTATTTCTATTTATGGAGTTGATTGCATATAAATTGAGTGCAGCACAATTAAATTATCTGAAAAACCAACCAAACCAAAAACCAAGGAAATATAATTATAAAACATTTTACAGTTTGTAAGGATTTTGGTCATTTCAAAATATGAAAAATTAAATGATAATCTTTAATTTTTAACATTCCGATGCTAATATGTATAACTGTGTATAACTATTTTTTAATTGTTTTCAATATTAAATACGTATTTGTTAATTATTAAATATTTCGTTTCAATTTAATTCCGTTAACGTAAAAATAACTTTTACAATTGAAAATTAATTAGAGATGCAAGTAAAATCTACAATTACTAAATTGCCATCAATATTAAATGAGTCACTTGTAAAATATCAAATGTTTCATTTCAATTTTATTTAAAGATACAGTGGAACCTCGCTTAACGAGTTTAATCCGGGACTTCTCTTCTCATCGTCACTCGTTATGTGAAACGTCACTCGTTAAGCGAGTCATTTTTCTTACAATTAATTTTGCTCGTTAAGCAAAATGCTCGTTATGCGAGGAGCTCGAGGTTCCACTTTACTTTTATTTTAAATTAGTTAATTTTCATGTAAATGATGAAAATTAGATGAAATTTGTGATCGTTATCATTATTAATGCAAATAGTAATAACTTGTAGATTTATAAAATTGCGCCAATTATGTTTATTGCAACATCACCGATTTGCGTTTTCAAAATGTTGATATCACGATTGTGCAAATATATAGTAAACACGATAGGGAGATAATGTGACTGAAAAGAGACACACGCCAGAAGCTATTTAATTGAAGCATGCGGAAGGGCGGAAAAGAAAGGGAACGCTCTGCTGCTCCCATTAAATATTGAGGAAATTGAATAATATTTTGATCTCGTCGTAATAATGAATAGATACTGAGTGGAGGAGAGAAGAGACTTACGAAACACACACACGCATGTTGTTGCGTACGCGATTGAGCGTGTGTGTGTGTATACTTTTGAGGTCACGAGTGTTTGTGGCCGAGTATGTATAGAATTCTGGCGATGATAATTTTGTCCTAAGCAATAAGGGGAATAGTTACGATCGCAAAGTCGGCTCGAAAGGTTGCATACGATTATCTTTTTTTTTTGTTCTTCGAACATGGCTTTGAGGTTATCTAGAAGGATTTTGGAAAATGTGAGGAGGAGGGTTACTTCATTGGGATGCCGACCCATGTCCCAGTACTACCCCATCGATGAGAATGTCTTCGGTCTCACCGATGACCAAATCCAGGTCTGTGACCCACGCACATATAATTAACTGCCATCAATGGAACAGCGTCATCATCATCATCTCAAGATCTTCTCAATGACCTTGACAAACCCTGACACCGCATTAATATGTTCCATTATTTGAATTTGCGACCTCGATTATTACCGTGAATATCTAATAGAATTTTGAAGGAAAAAACTGATAATATCATCATGCGTATTTTAATTCTGCTTTACTGATTTCTCGTTTCTTTCGTAAAATTTAGCTCAGGGAAACCGTATTCAACTTCGCGCAAAAAGAATTGGCACCGCACGCGAATGATATCGACAAGAAGAACAACTTTGCCGACATCCGCGAATTCTGGAAGAAATTGGGAAACCTCGGTATACTCGGTGAGACTGCGAATTCAAAAATTATATTTGGCGCTTAACGGGTTGCATACGGTGACACAGTTTGAAATTGAATTGTATGATTTCAGGTGTAACAGTAAAATCGGAATATGGGGGTTTGGGGGGAACATACCTGGACCACGTGATTATTATGGAAGAGCTATCGAGGGCATGTTCAGCTATCGCTCTTAGCTACGGCGCTCACTCGAATCTCTGCATAAATCAGATCTACAGAAACGGCAACGAAGAACAGAAGAAAAAATATCTGCCGAAATTGGTGAACGGCGAGCATATCGGCGCTCTTGCCATGTCTGAGCCGGGGTCCGGTTCGGATGTGGTGTCGATGAAGCTGCGCGCCGAAAAGAAAGGTGATTACTACGTGCTGAACGGCAACAAGTTCTGGATCACCAACGGCCCGGATGCTGACGTCCTTGTGGTATATGCCAAAACTAGTCCAGAGTTGAACCAGCGCGGCATCACCACTTTCTTGGTGGAGAAAGGCTTCGAAGGATTTTCGACCGCGCAAAAGTTGGATAAATTGGGAATGCGCGGTTCGAACACATGCGAACTCATCTTTGAGGAGTGCAAAGTCCCAGCGGAGAACGTGATGGGCGGCGTAAATAAAGGTGTTTACGTATTGATGTCTGGATTAGATTACGAGCGGTTGGTGCTTGCAGCCGGACCAGTTGGTTTAATGCAGGCCTGCTGCGACATCGCATTTAATTACGCTCACCAGAGGAAGCAGTTTGGACAACCAATTGGAGAGTTCCAACTGCTGCAAGGAAAAATGGCCGATATGTATACCACCCTCAGCGCTTGCCGCAGTTACCTGTACAGCGTGGCAAGGGCCTGCGAGAAGAGCAATGCGAATAGCAAGGATTGCGCCGGAGTCATCCTATACTGCGCCGAGAAAGCTACCCAGGTCGCACTTGATGCCATCCAAATACTAGGCGAGCAACCCACATTACAACTTTACTTCAATCATCTAAATTAATCGCATTATCTTTGTCGCAGGTGGTAACGGCTACATCAACGATTATTCAACCGGACGACTCCTGAGGGACGCCAAACTCTACGAGATTGGAGCCGGCACCTCCGAAGTCAGGAGACTCCTCATCGGCAGAACCTTGAACAAAGAGTACAAACAACTGTGAAGAAATTTAATATAATAATGTTAACTATTTACCTTATATACAAACACCCATTACTATGCATTTTGTTTAATTACTAATTCAAAATAGTAGTTATAGGCAGTGTTGCCTTTAACTGTTCATGGAACAAATATACAAAGAGTATTCAAAAGTTGTCAATAAGAGTAATTGTATATATTGGTATATGATGATTAAAGGTATTTATATAGTTTGAATATTCAAGTTTGTGATAATGAAAAATTAAAAAAAAATAGATACTAGTAAATAAAAACATACAAAACAATATATTTATTTCTTTCCTTCCACCATTATAATGTGGTAACCAAACTTGGTTTTAATTGGGGGATCTGTGTAGACTGGACTGTTAACAGTAGAGTTGGGTAGGGCAAAAGCTGCATCCTGGAAAGGACCCACCATAGAACCACGGGTCATCCAACCCAGATCACCACCAGATCTGGCCTTATCCTCACTGTAAGCTGCAGCCACCTCAGGAAACTTCTGACCTGCCTTCAGCTTCTCTAATGCTTCCAAACATTTTGACTGTTTTTCGCATAGAATGTGTCTCACCTTAACCGCAGTCCCACCTTTTTTCTCCTTACCACCTAATAACATTACTTCATTAAATAAATTAATTAATGCAATTAATATCTCACCTTTCTCAGAGTCATCACCGCCTTTGGCCCCCTTCGCCGGTTTTGCTGCACCCTTCTTCGGAGGCATTCTTATTGTAGCTGCACAACAAAATTAACCTAACTTTACTGACTGGGTTGATGCTAAAGTTGCCTAACTTAGCCTGTCAGATATTACACTCGGTCCTCTTTTTTTATGCGGTAAATAACTATTTTAAACCATTTTGACACGTTTTCACACAAATTGGCAAACCATTTCATCGAAAAAGATGATAATTCTGAACGAGCATTCAAGTTTCAACGCGAGCTTCAGAATTGCATTTCTGGATATCAGGAATTGTACAAAAAATAGCAAAGCCATCGCAAAGTTTAATCACTGATTATATTGTCAAAGCAAAAAAATCAACATGCGAAGTTGAGACTAATTTTGATTGTGAAGAATCATTATCTTCAGGACATAGATCTGATATGCTGACTATCTCTTCTAGTGATGAAAGTGATTTCGAACCAGTTCGCAAATTATGCCGAACACTCTCATATAGCGACGATAATTGTAAAGAAAAAATGTGAAGAAAAATTAACTTTCATAATTTTCTGTATTTTTTTTTGTAAAATTTTTCTGTATAAATTTAGAAGGAATATGTTAAGATTATATTTTCCTGAAATTTAATAAACTTGTCTATGATTGTTAACGTTTTTATAAAATTATGAATAAACATTTCAGAAAAAATATAGTAAGATTAATTATTATTCTGAAATTTAATAAACCCTTTTTTATGCGGTTTTCGGTATATTGTAAGTCATTGACTTAGTTTTATGCGATTTTAAAAAAATATGGAACGTATCCTTTATTTTTATACGTATGTCTAGTCCTTTTTTGTTCGATTTATTTTTATGCGTTTTCCTGTGGAACGTATCTACCGCATAAAAAGAGAACCAAGTGTACTTGAGGAATAATGTTGCACAAATAATGCTACACACGTTATGAAATGGGTCTATATCGCAAGCCCGACAACCGAAAGACTGTCTTTTGAAAGCCCGACGTTCGAAATCCCGAGTGTATTGAAATCCCGACCACCATAATCCCGACCACCATAATCCCGACAATCAAAATCCCAACTGTATCGAAATCCCGAATATATACCTATATTTTAATAGGTACGACGGATACTGAAAAAATACTTTTAAGACCTAGGTCGATGGCTCTTTTTCCCGATTATTAATTGTTGTTATTTAATCTTAATAACAATAAATAATATTAATTATTATTGTATTTTTTTTTTCGTTGACTTATTCATTATAAAACTTAAGAATAAGAAATATTCTATAATAAAATTAGTTTATGTTACTAACAATAAATAACAACAATTAATAATCTTATTAAGTTTTAGATTGTCGGGATTTCGATATAGTCGGGATTTTGACATAGTCGGGATTTCGAACGTCGAGATTTCGATCCACTCGAGATTTCGAACATCGGAATTTCGATAGACGGGATTTCGGTTGTCGGGCTTGCGATTTCCACCGTATGAAATATCTTTGAAAAATTGATGGTTTTCACATTTTTTGAAATATCAAAACAAGCGGTTCGTCTTAAAGAGCAATTATTCTCAATGTTGTAAGGCTTCACAACAATGTAAAATTACAAAATTTAACATCTAGCAAATAATAATGGGAATTTAAAACTGAACAGAACAAGCGGATTAATTACTTTATGAAATACTCGATTGACATCAGTGGCGGAACTTCAAAACTTTGTCCCCCCTGATTGACATTTATTAATTTTGCTTTAATTCAGTGAATATTAATTAAAGAAAACTTAGTAATTATATGTAAGAACCGTTAGTTGCGGCGCATTCCGCTTTCAATGAAAAGCGCTGCTAATCTGTCTTCATTAATTAATATGAAAATTAAACAAAACCGTAAAATATAATGCTTTAATGACTGCAATAAATCATTGATTGTATGTATTTAAGAAAATGTCAAAAATAACTCTCGTAATGTGCAAACAATAAATAGTAATTATATTAAATTTAAATAAATATCTTTGAAATATTTAATGTATTTGTTTCCTTCTTCTACATTGAAGGTCACCGGATTAGTGTGCACGACACAAATGAGAAATGGATCCATAATTAGTCGTAATAAAAAAATATAGTGCATGTAATAACGAGCTTATCGTCAAAGATTCCACGCGTCCACTTTTATATAAGTTTAATACGCGCTAAGTGGGATTGCTGAGCAACAGGCAGCCTCTCTCCGTTCTACTCTGCACACTGTAACATCGTCAGTCGCAGTTCTGCGCTTCGTGCCATTAAATTCGCAGAGTTAATACGTTCATGTGGAAACTGCAGGACTTCGAAAAGAGAAGCCTCCTCTGGCACAACGCTTTCAATGTAAACATCAAGGATTCGCTCAAGTAATTACCACAAAAATTTCATTCGTTAAAATCGCGTATAGCCGAAGTAAGATAATTAAAATAAATTTATCATTTCATTTGTTTCTGGACTTATAATTTCAATGGTTTAATGTTTTCGGAAAGAAATTGTTGTGGATTGCAAAAATCTGGTTCGGTTTCACGAAAACTAGTTCGTTGTTAGCGAAAGTAAAAATTCTGTTTACGTTCGCGTCACAAAGCATCAATTTCACGTAACGCCGTGATTAGTGTAAATCTCGGGATATGTGGTTTATTGATTAATAGGTACACACCTCCGCATCGTTATTATTATCATCCTTTATATTTTTTTTGCAACGTCTCGCCTAAATCACCTTGGTGCTAAAGCTATTTAAAGCCGAATTAACACTATACGACGCGTCTTTCGTATTATCCCCTACTTAATGTCTTTGTTACGGGAATTTCATTTGCATAATTAATTTTAGGCAACCAATTACACTCTGATTGCAAATTATTAATATCGACAAGTTCTTCCCTAAATTTGAATTAGTTTGAATATTCTCTTGATCGATATTAAAAATAATATTAATATTTTATTAGCCAGATAATAACAATACAAAAAGATATATAAATCCTAAATAAATATAAATAATAGCTCTTTGTAACAGTTGACTTTTTTTTAAATTATATATATATATATTTAATTTGTTTTTTTATTACTGTATGTGTTTTTTTTGAACTGATGTAATAAATATTATTATTATTATAAATAATAATAAACAAAATAAGATAAATTCTAATATGAATTAATAAAAATAATTAATAAACCAACCAAAGGGTTGATAGATATTATAAACATGAATTTGCATTTTGAAATTAGAATTAAATGGAAGTTTCGATATAAATGATGAAGAACAAACAAATTGTTTCTACAGTTAAGTGTGAATTTGAAATAGATTTAGATATTAATTCTGCTGTATTCGCATATGTGTTCAAAAGGATAAAAGTAAATTATATTGAAAACGAGCGTTAATAAATCATTCTGTGTAATTATAATATATTAGTAATTTATATGTGAATGAAATATGCCTGCACACATTTGAACGTGAAATATTGATAAAAGCGTCGCGGCGCGTTCCCGGACACGACTAGAGTTTTACGAAAAGACGAGGACGCGCCAATACGCGTCTCAGTTGCGTTTCACCAGCTGCGACGATGGTATCGACGACGTCGTTCGTTGTTGCGTAAGACAATGCGCAGCGCGTTTCCACAATAAAATTCATAATATAGAAAAAATAGTGGCGGTTGAAGCAACTTCGAATATGACGACCAAATTAACGTGCTGCGAATATGTGTCTAAGCTAATACGATATTACAGGATGAAGAACTGGCTTCGGATCAGTCTGCTGCTGTGCGTATTTGGCTTCATCAAAGAGTTCAGACCATCGGAACCGTTCGTTTACGAATATCTGATTGGACCGTGGAGGAACATCACCGAGGATGAGGTCACCCAGCAGGTCTATCCGGTGGGAACATATAGCTACCTGGTGCATCTACTTATAATGTTCCTCATCACCGATATTCTCCGCTACAAACCGCTGATCGTCATCCTCGGACTGTCCGGTATTGCAATCTGGGCGATGCTCATCTGGACCACATCCCTGTTCTACCTTCAAGTACTTGAAGTAAGTACGAAATCAAAGTCAATGTCAACAACAAATCACAATGTCAATATGTCTAAATATTGCTGCATAAACTAATTGCTTTTCTCGACACTCATAATAATTAGTTTAGTTTCTGGCTGAAAATAAACGTATTACAATAATGCAAAACAAGCTAATTTATTAATCTTATTTGTTTTTAAATACAAATATATACGATTTCAACACTTATCAGAACATTAGATTTAGTCATTTTAGTTGCAACTGTGTAAAATATTAATGAATTTCCTAGAAAACTTTGATCTTTCTACAATAAAAATTCTATAACTCAATAAATAGTAAGAAAATTAATGTACATATACATTTTTAAATGTTAAACGATGCATGTCAATACATCCGTAATTCATCAGTTCTGCAAAGCGCATTAACGACAACTTGAAATATCGCGCACAAAAAAAAACTATAAATAATTGAGTGACTGATAAAAGATGTATTATTTCAAAATGACGAACGACCAACTAAAAAAAATCACGACAATGAATTATTCAAAACAAATTGAACAGTTGGAACTTCAAATTGCGATGATTCCCAGGATTATAACGTATTCCCAGCAACTGTGCATACTTGATTTTTTTCCATTCAACGTAATTATAAACATGTCCAATGATGGAAACATAACAAAAACATCGAATTAATCTGGTGTAACCAACTTTAAATAATGAATACCCTAAGCGTCATATGAATAATCAAAGTTGGTAATCGTCTTCGGTGATAAACAAGTCTTGTTTGATCATGATTTAATAATTCTTAGCGGTCTTTCTCTCCCTTTCTTTCTCGCTCATCAATTGTTTTTTTTATTATTCTTGCATGTCTTTCCTTGGACATGCCAACTGTTGAATAATTAATAGCTCTAATTTCCTATCGGGTAAACAAGATTCAGAGTAATCGGTGCGTGGAATTGGGAACAGCGATCGATGAGTCGGACCAGTAATCGGAAATGCAACACATTCGTGTGTATTTATTTATTTATTCATTTGAGTATATTAGGCGCGAATGGAATTATGTAATGGCATTAGTCTGGTAATTACACTTTTACCACGGCGGATCGATACGATTTTGATTACGCCGTCACGAAACGCACTACATTGTATGTTTACGTTGTTCACGACATTGCAGCTGAAGATAAGACCTTCTCCTCTATGCAATTTGAAATTTTAAAAATAAAATTGCTGCGCTAATAATAACATCGCATTACCTACTTGTTATTTCATCGTAACTCTTGGCAACCGTCTCTTTGCAACGAAAATATTGCTGCATTCGTCAATCGTAACACTTTCACACATTATTTGTATATTTTAATATTTATTAACTTCTTCAATTTTGTTTTTCCAATGAAATTATCAAACATAAAAATATCAAATATAATTGAATCGTCGTAAATGTTGTTATTTTGTGGCAAACACTATTGATCCTACTATAAAATTCGACCTGAAAAAAAGTTTTGAGAATGGAAAGGAACATGATGTGATATAAGAATAACACGTAACAGTAAATAATAAAACAATGCATGTGTTTCTGATCTATTCATGAAACTTCATCACTTTTAATCAATTGTATCTGATATTTTTTTAAAATAAAATGTGCTAAGGCAAACGTTGGGATCTTATTAGATGGGCATGTGATGCAATAATCTCCGTAATAGTAATTAAACAAGATTGACACATTTTGTTTGGTCGCCGCTCGTGTTATCAGTGATTTATCGGATTCATAGATAATGCTCTTAGTTTAGCTTTACTACACAATAAAAATATTATCACATTCAGTAATTTCCAATGAATCATTTTAAATATTTGTCAATTTTAATATTGCAAAAATCAAGTGATTACACGAATATAATTATTTTGATATGATGATTTGTTACTGAAAAACAGGGCCGTTTCGAAAATTGTTATCAAATAAATATTAAGTTGACACATTGTCAATGTCACACATGTTAAAAATACCAACATTGCATTTGACTTATATATCTGAACCATAATTGATTGATTTTATTTGGATGCCCTACTTGAATTCAATTAACGTATCGATAATTGGGTTTCGAAGTTTGATATTGTTCGGCGCATACATTAAATTCGATGTAATATTAACTCGAACACGATACGAAGTATTTGATAATTGGTAAACGGGGAAGTCGAATGCAAATGAATGAAGAAAATTAAATGGGCAATTTGGGTTATGAGATTGGAATGAGGGTGAAGACATGTGTAGATGAAAACCTTGACCCTGGTTTTTAAATTGGCAATTGCTCAATGCGAGCGAGGAAGAAGAATTGGAGTTGCCCTCTTCTAATTGACCTTATTTAGAATAAATGGAAATAGTTAATGAGGCGTCGTGCATAATTTACAGAAGCTGGATAACAACATTCACAACAATATAATCCACCTGTCGGGTACGAGATTCTTTCACAACAATCAAAATGTCTGACGGTCGTCATGGTTATGGACATTTACAATATCGATGTTCGAGAATAGAAATAAAAGCATTCAGGAATTGATAACATTGTGATAGTTAATTGTGAATGTCTTATTATCAAATTAAGAATTTTGCTAGTGACTAATTGTATTAACATTAAAGCTGTAAATTTAAGTTTTGTTAATGGTCGATATTGCTTTTTTCAGGGTGTCTACGGGACTTTTATGTCTTGCGAAGTGGCATATTACACTTACATTTACGCAAAAGTCGACAATGACTATTACCTGCAAGTCAGCTCACACACTAGGGCAGCGGTGCTAGCTGGAAGAGCGCTTTCCAGCATTCTGGCGCAGATCCTCATCTCTTTCAGCATCATGGATTACAAGGGCTTAAACTACATTACCTTTGGAGGTAACCAACTTTAATAGAAATTGATACATTCATTCATCGTTTCTGTTTTTTTGCAGCTATGATCCTGGCGACGTGCTGGTCACTGATACTGCCGCCGGTGAAAAGGAGCATCTACTTCCACCAGAACAATGACCCTAACATCCTGACGCCAGCAAGGTACAGGAACGCCTTTACCCTGATGAAGAGCCATTTTGGGCAATCATTCGCCAATCGATACGTGCTGAAGTGGTCGATGTGGTGGGCTCTGACGACAGCCGGTTTCATCCAGGTACAGGTCTACATCCAACCACTTTGGTCCGAGATACAGGACTACGCGAAAGATGCGAACACGTACAACGGCGCCGTCGAGGCAGCCGCAACCCTCCTCGGTTTCCTAAGCGCCCTCTTCGCCGGCCACCTGAAGATCGACTGGCGCGGCAAGGGCGAACTCATCCTCTCGATATGCTCGATCACCGCGGCCAGCATCATCCTCCTCAGCTCGCAAACAGACACGATTCTCGTCAGCTATGCGAGTTACGCCGTCTTCTGCGGCATCTACCACTTCATGATAACAATAGCAAGTTCCGAGATAGCCAAGTGCATCATCGAGGATAGCTACGGGCTGGTATTCGGCCTAAACACATTCTTTGCCCTCGCTCTGCAGACCGCCCTTACTGTGGCTTTTGTCGAGAAGAGGACCGGACTAGCTCTTTCACCGCGCAACCAGTACCTGGCCTATGGAATCTACCACATCGGCATCTCGGCAATCTTCATTCTCATCGGTCTGATTAGTTGGATCAAGAGCAACCGCGATATCAAGAAAACATACAACTAACGAAAAAAAAAACGAATCAACACTAGAGTCCTAGTACTTAGCGCGAGTGCTCTCACCATATATTTATATATATGATATTCTCGAGAACCTTAGTATTGTGATAGACTGACTTTATACCATTGTTATTATTACACGTGTGATAAATCTTACTACATTTCTATTTAAAGAGAACAATAAAACGTAAATACATTTTATTTATTACTATTTAGACGTCTCATTTCATTCCCTTTAAGCATTGAATAAATGAACATTTTAGAACGGAATTACGCGTTTTAGATCTGCAGTGGAACCTCGCTTAACCCGTTCCAGGATTATTTACTCGTAAAGGCCAACATTTTTTTTCCATGATAATGCACATTAACATATTCAAAGTCTGAAAATGATGTAGCAGGCACACAATCAGGGATTTCTCTTCTCCTCGTCACTCGTTATGCGAAGTCCCACTGTATTTCTATATTAACTTTGTGTTGAAGAAATTCAAGCTTTACAAAATAAATAGATAGAATCTTGATACAAAATAAATAGATCTTGACGATAATGCTATGTCTTCGTTTGTTTATTATTAATAAAACTTATTTCTTTTTGGTTATCTTTAAGGGTTTCTTCAGGATGCCCTTGTGCCTCAGATAGCGAACAATGACCGGTGTCGCCCCCAAAGTAATTGCGATCCTCACTGGTGCGAATAGCTTGTGGATGGCGTAAGCGGTGAGGAAAACTCCCGCATTGGACGTCATCTTCGTTTCGGCGAAACCCAGCTTCTCCACGAACTTCTCCAAATCGATACCGCTGCAAAGTTCGGCACACTTTAGATTCCAATCCACCAATTTATATTTCAATCAATAAAGTACTTGGAAATAAGCGAGTAGCAGAGGCCCAACGATATCAGCGATATCGTTATGTGGAACACCATCACCGTCGTCCCATACTCGGCGACAGCCTTCTTCAACCTGCTTTTCATTGTAACCTCTTCCCCACATTTGGAGCTCTTGAAACATCTCAAATCAACTCTCCCATTGTACACAGCCAAGACTGTATTCTTGACTGATGCTGCACTTTGACCTACAATAGTATTTTACATAATACTGCAGCAAATCCTCTCAGCTAATTACTTACATCTCTGAATATAACTTGGTATGCATTTAATGTTATTTGCTGCAACAATAAATGACACTGCAGAAGAGCTTTGATAACCTGCAAATAAGTTCAGTCATTCAAAAGTGTTTCTATTTAACTCTGGCCATTTTTACTTACAATTAGGATATAAACGGAGCAAGCTACGACCCCTGGCAAATAAAACAATTGCCATTGCAACTTAAAAATTAATAAATGCACTTACATATAATATATATAGCGCTCACTATGTTTGTTTACATGACGTTATCTACAGGTTACATACTTCTGACATTGACAGATAAACACTACGTTGCATGAAATGTTAGATTGGTTGCCATCATATTTTTAATTATGTAACCCAAGAAACAGCAAAACCTTCATTGTAATTATTCTACAATCAATTAATTAAAATCTGCATATACATTAACTAATAAAAAAAATACAGCAACCATATTGAGATTACAGTTTTATGAAATATTTAACATACGAATTGTATTTCACTAGTTAACAAGTCATTTTGGTTGCTTACAATTGCATAACTCGTATATTTCAATCGCATTTAACAAGGCTAAGTAAATTAGATTAATTTATTTTGTTTTTCTTCAACTTATAATCACAAATTTGGAAAGAACATAAATTTAAAAAAAAACATGGAATTAAATATATTTCTATATAACATATTGATGAAAAAATTGAAATTTCATCCTCGAAATTATTTTTATAAAAAAAAAACAAGTGTAAAAGGAAATGAAAGACAAATATACATTTATAATTATTTAAATAATACATTATTTATTAATATTTCTTTTCGTTCAATATAATAATAGACACATTGAAGCTCTTCAGGACGAATCGTTTTACAATCACTAATTTTAGTTTTTCTTTTAATCATAGATTCGTTATAATAAAAGATATATATATATATATTTATAAAAAAAAACACGTCCTTAAATTTGAACAAGTGGTAAAACATTTTGAGTAGGCAACGCGTATATTGACTCTATGACAAAACACTCATTTAACTCGCGTATAGAAAATAGCACACTTCTATCTCATCATAATTATTATTATTACTTTATTATTGTTATAAAATGTATTTGTATATATATATAAATAGACGTAAGAAAATAAATGCAAATGTACAAGAGGTCGTTTTTTATTTTTGTTTTTGGAAGAGTTTGTACAGCCTTCGGCACAGATTGACGCAGCAAAGAAAAAGATATACTACGAAAAGTGTTATTTTTTTCCTTCTCCTCGGATGGCGTGCGAAAAATGCTTATCTCTTTCATAGAAAACGAAATCAGTCTGTTAATTTGTAATAATATTTTATGTATATATATAAGCAAAGATGGAACAGCAAACGCGATTAATTCGTATCACTTAAAAAATAAGATATATACAAGAAAGGGTGGAAAAGTAACACATTATGTACAGGGGAAATTGAAATGCTTCGAAACTAATATGCAATATGCATTAATATCGTCATTGACTTCATCGTAAAGGATTTTTGTCCTTAAAAAAATAGTTTTTTTTGTTTGTTTAAATTATGAGCATCACAAGGCAGTTATTACTATATACTATATATATTTATATATAATTAATATTTAAATAAACGTTTCGTTTAATTAGTTTGTTATGGTGGAGGTAGTAGATGTGCTCTGTCTCTCCATCGTCTTTTCGCGATCTTTCACTACCAATTGGTGATGACGTTGATGGCGATTATCATTTTGGTTGTGGGATGAAGAACGGAAGGAACGAAAATTGTCGCATAACAGGTACGGGCACTCTTTGAAGCAAATAAATTAAAATTCCTCCCAGTGATGAGGAAGGCGTCATTACCATCATCGTAGTTGTCGTCTTCGTCGCGAGTTAATTAGTCTCTCACACGTAGGCCTCGGCGTGTCGACCCCTGATCCTATTAAGAAAGACGCGCCAACTGTGCATCGTCTTCCCGGACCAAATCCAGACGCTTGACGTGATGCCGACGATCATGTACATCAGATACTTGATCATGAAGACCTCAAACTGCGGCCGTCGGTCGTAGTCCTTCTTCGGGCAAGGGATGGCGTACTGTTTCTTGCACATGTCCTTCGTCCAGGTGATCATCCAGGAGTCGAAGGAGAACATCTCGTAGAAGAGACAAGCAAGAACTATGAGGGCCGGAACGGTATAGAGCACCGAGAAGATGCCGATGCGGATCATCAGCTTCTCCAGCTTGTCGGTGCGCGTGCCGTCGTGCTTCATCACCGTCCGAATGCGAAAGAGCGACACGAAACCGGCCATCAGGAAAATAGTACCCAGCACCAGGTACCCGCACAGTGGAACTAGGATGAACGTCCTCAAAGATTCGACGTTCCAAAGCCCCACGTAGCAAACGCCACTCAATATATCACCTGCAACAATAAAAACATCAATGAAAATCCCTCATATTAATTATCGAGTAACATTATTTACAAAAAGAACAATAATAAAAAAAAACCGGTCCCGAGGCGACAGCAAACACGAAACTAACCGGACAACTTCATCATTTCGTACGAATTCCAAACCAGGTTATTCAATTTAATATAATAACGACACAAGAAAGAAACCGAAAACGGAATTCAGTAACATATTTAAATTATATACGACATTGCAACGGCTACAGTGAGACAACGATGATAATAATAAATAATTGAAAGCAAACACATTTGTTTCCATTTTTTTAAACGCGCGAGTTCTGAGCAACTTGTGTGAAAAGTCGACGAAGATTCAATTGAAGAAATTTCATCAATAAAATACACGTTTTCATTCCGCGCAGTAACTAGTTTCACGACAGTTTTCCATTCAGCGAAATATGCGTCTCTAGAACAAGAAAACGCGCTACAAACAGATCAAAAATGGTTTGATTCATCAGTTTCACCACATCGCAATAGTTTCATTCAAATAAATACAAGATTTATCATCAATCAAATAGCAACATAGATCTCTTTCCAAGAATTGCGCGGTTTTCTTTCGCAATTTCTCAACAAATAAGCGGATTTTAACATGAAACAAAGTTTGCGAGAAGAAAACTCAATGGTAATAATCGCGAAATTCTTTTGTTAATTCTTGTAATCAAACGACGATTAATCAACGACCATGCAGATAATGGACAATTAATCCCATTGATAAATTGTTATATAATAACAGGCGACGAGGAGCGGTTTTTAACGTCTCCTCCTTTCGATTTTTAAAACGCAATAATTGCACTTTAATGTAGTAATAATTACTTAATAATAACCGACGAAACGGTCATGCATGCATGTCCGCCAGCTCTTATCTCTTCTCTTACGAAACTCTTCAATTACGTGTATACGCACAGATTAGCGATAGTTTAAATTTTTGGTGCTTCCCTTCACATGTGACATTAAAATTTTGTTTACAAAGCATTATAAAATAAACTATATTCTGCACTGCATTAATTCATATTTTTGAAAATTGATATATGATACGTCAATTTACTGAAAGTTGACCATTAGGGATAAACAAATATGCCCAGATCTGATCACGATATATCGGAGCACCTCTCTTTCTAGTTGAAAAGAGGATTGTCCAGTTTTATATGTTCCGATGGGGCCGATGAGATAAGAGCCGGGCCGCGGATCTCACCCGGAGCAACAATTAATATTGGTGATGATCCGTAATTATAGTGAGCGGCCGGGTCCAATTTATTGGAAGGATCAGAGGATGAAGACTAGATTTTTATAGAGAGAAAGATAGAACTCGTATGTGTATGACCGTGCACTGTCCACCAGAGGTTCTTATTAAAACCACTTACACCACAATTACACGCCGTCTCTCCTCTCGTGGTACACAGCTTTATTAATGGGACGACATCCATTGGTTCTCTCCCATTTAATGGACATATTTCCATATACATATTTTTTTTGTTTTCTCTTCTGTTCTTCCCATTCCGTTCGATTAACCAGAGCATCGAGCAAGCAACAAACGCATCGGCGTTACATAAATTGGAATCATAAACCGGAAAAATTGACGACGTCAACGACGACGATTTTATCGGGCTCCAAACATTTTTGTTCTCGATCGTGCTGCTTCACGCGCACGAACATAATTTTTACTTGTATCGCATTAAATAATGAAAACGAATTCAACGAAGCATCCGTCCTTCGTTAATTGATTAAGATTCGCATGACCGATTACACGGAAATTAAAAACATCCGTTTTCATTATAATAACACCTAATTATGGCTTAAGTTATAAGATATAAAAAGGAAATGCAACAAGATTTAAACATTGCATCAATATTCTATAAATCTATAAACTCTATGTTAGGAATAGAAATAGTTTTTATTAAATGTACTAAGCTACATAGTACAATTTATTATTCACATTTACCAAAAGACGAGGTTATTATTAATACAAACTAGATTTATTATATTAACCTTAATATATACAAACGCGTATTATTAAAATTTAAACAGTATTTACGGTTTGTTATTAAAGAAAAGTCATCCTTTGATTTTGTTCATATTACATAATATGTTATAGGCGTCGTAATAGGAATTTAAGATGAAATCTTGTCAAATGTATCGATGACACTAGAAATCGAGCGATAAGGACCTCTTGTATACTTAATGCATCCCTAGTGACACATGTGGATTTAGAGGGTGAAGATCAAGGAAGTAACGCCAATCCTGGCTGTGATGCGCGTGTGTGTGTGGTCTGTGAAATAAATAAGCTCGACGCCAAACTGAGACATAAATTGGATCGACATGAAACGAAAAAAATAAAATAAAAAGTGAGAAGTAAATTGTCTCGTTTCGCTGGGCCCTGGCGTGGCACATTGCTTCTAAACCGTAACCCCAATATATATATATATATCTATGTACACGGTCCGCTTATGGAATTTATCAGTTATGATTAGCTCTTAACAGTTGGGTTTCGCGATTTGCACCGATAAAATGGCGAAGCGGATGGACATTCCGATTGTTTGCTCCATATTTCACTTGCGCAGCCACCATAAATCAAATTCCGCCACCGACTAATGCCAGTTCCACGGCGTGGCTCCAGATTATTTACTATTCTGTCATTATTAAACCAAAGCGAGTCGATTTGCTTATGCTAATTCGTTCCTTTCTCATGTACTGTTCTCTCTCTCTCTCTCTCTCTCTCTATGTATCACGGCCTTCTTTCAAACATTTTTCTTCAATCCGCGTGCCACCATACACATTGTTTGAACAAATAAAAGATCTCGATTATACATGTATGCCTTCTTTTTGTTTCTTTGCCCAAGCTGTTATCCAATAGTGAATGTTAATGCTTCTGGTAATGGGTTACATTTGAACTGTTCAAATACGATTTCAATCCTTCTTATTGTGTTAATAACCAGCCTGAGGCCACTCCGCTATCTTGCAAAGTGCGCATTCAACCATTCCACAGTTCTGGAAAAGTTAAATATTACATATTTTTATTTAATTGGATTTATGGATGATATTGCTTTAAACTGAAACGTTGGCAACGCTTTGATCGATTCGATCTTTTGTGTTGCGGAGACCTTTTTCCCCCATTATTATTTTTTTCTATGTTCTTTTACGTTGGTTTCACGAGGGTTAGCTTGATGGAATTTGGAATTCCAAAAGCGGCGCGCGGACGAGAGGGAGGCTAGCGAGGACGGGGAAAAAACGTGAGCTGTATACGTGAAAGAGCTCACCGTTCGCTGAATTATTGATGAATTTGTGCCCGAAATGATTAATCATACATCCATGCAGACACGTTTTATATTTTAAAAATGTTTCTTTTTCCGTCGCCGTCGTCCGTCACGGCCTCTTGGAGCTGCAGCCGTTCTTAAACGTGTATGCATATTGATGGTAACGATTCCATCCAGCCGAAGTGCACTCATTTTTCTTTGAAGCGGAGATCTCACAAAGGAGATCGCCTCGCTTTAAATTTGTATATTTATTATTTTAGTCAGTCGAGCTAATCGGAACCGTTCTCTTGACTTCCATCAACGATAACTCTTCCTTAACCAGTTAGCTGTGTTTGACGAGTATACTCATCATGGAGAAAATGCAATATTTTGTGTTATGACGAGTATACTCGTCATGCATAAAAAGTAGTTACCTAGCCAATGGTAACTACTTTTTATGCATAAATTACAATTTTAATGAAAACTAAAATATTTTCGTAAATTTGAAGATGTTTAATTTCAAGACGAAATAAAACGAACAAATATAAAAATATAAATAATTATTATGAAAATACTGTATACAGTGTGAAGAAAGCAGTTTTCTTCTTACTAAATGTTGTATTTCTCTTTGTTATATGTTATATTTGCTAATAAATTTCACGGATAAAAATATTATAATCTTGTCTGACCCTCATTACACAAACATCTCATCTGACCATATAATTCATTGTATGCTATCGAAGTTTTATCATTATTGGTGCCTGATGCCCGTTTAGATCAGTGTTTCTCATTTTTTTGAAAAAATTAAAGGAATCACTGATCTAGATACACAAAAAACTGTAACATATAATAAAAAGAGTTTTGTATCCTTGCAAAGAGAGTTCTGAATTAGATCACACACAAAGCGTCGTTTTCCTAGCTTCACACTTTCTAGCGAGATCGTCAAAAAGTAATCCTACACGAAGATGTTCACATTGTTACAAAAATAATATTCGGAAATAGTCAAGATATTTGTGTTCGACTTGCAGAGTGTCGTTATGTATTCTAAGGACTTTGCACAATATCATTTCACAACAGCAGATTAAATTTCTATCTAATCATTTTTTTAACTAATTGATTTCACTTGTTTTTATTTTTTTTGGTAAACAATAATATTTGAAAAACACATGATGCCAACCGTAAAAGCGGCTGTTAAGATCGATACGCAAATTATATAGGATTTTTAATGAGCGCTGCAAGTAATTGCGAGCATTTATTTTTTTTTAAACCGCGGGGTAGAAGTGTTTCCTCTGCATGCTATTTTTTATGTTGTTGGTTATGTTTTCTTCTTTCTTAACACTCTTTTCCCTTCTCGTTCGCTTGCTATTCTTTTTATTTTTTCGTTTTAATGACGGTTGCATGTCGACGTCGATAATGGCTCAAATCGCTCTCGGAAGACGCACAAAAAATACGTATGTACGTGCAATTTTCAGGAACGAAACGTTGGGGGAAAAGCTGAACTCCTCCCCTCGTCTCGTTTCCGGCCTTTGGGGAGCAGAATTTTTCGAAGGAAAATGAATAATAGATTTTTAATCCAACCTAACAAATAAGTAAAACTATTGCCGCCAAAGCACAAGAAAGCTCCCCTGTTTGTTGCATAGCAAATAAGTTATTTAAATGTTTTTAGTTTGTAAATTATGTGTTATATGCATAATAGATGTCACTTTCAAATATATATAAATTTAAAAT